TCTTGGATATTGACTTTGAGTTTGTTATCTTTTTGGGTATGTTTTGGTAAATTTATACATGTATATATAAATACACCCGTTTCCTGAAATGCTGTAGTTTGAAAGTATACACAATTTTTCTTTCTTATCAAAATTACATCAATTTAAGGAGAAAAAAAATTTGGGACTTTGATAACTAGATACAGGGTGACCATTTGATATGGTGCTGCTAAATATCGGTTGGAATGTATCATGGATTCAGCAGCAGAGGCAGCATTTTATAAAATACTGAGAAAAGACTTACATTGCACGGTGACATAAGCTCTTACTGTCTTTTCCTGTCTCACACCATTGCTTGCGATGCACACATATTCTCCAGCATCGTTCGTGCTACTACTGGAGATGTTCAGCTGTTTGGTGCCACACAAATGAATCCCAGATTTTTCCCATCTTATCTTAGGTTCAGGAAAACCCGTCGCATCACAATTCAAAAACAGAGGGGTTGACGTATTAACTGTTATATTCTGTGGCACTTCTGTAAACTGTACAGGAACTAGGCAAGAAGAGAGGAACAACAAAATTTTCACTCCACAGCATTAAAGTACGATTTGGTTCAAAACCATCCACTTCATACGCTATAGAAATAGGATTATAAAATATAGCACATGCATAAGAACAATATCCAAAAAAGGAAACAAACTATCATTATATCAGCTAATCAGAATTTGCATCAGTTTTGAAATACTCTAATGAAACCCATAAGTCTACAGTTTTTAGCAGACACAAGATAATTACTTTGGAATAATGTTCTGGGTTTTTTTTCTTTTTTCGCCAAAATATGCAATCAGACCAAGGGTTAATCTCAAACTTGAAGCTAAATTGCTACGCAAATAAATGTACAACCTTATTAAGGCTCCTAGAAAGCTACACAAACTTACAGACTTCTTATGCCTGAAAACAATCTAGGGTAACTATGGGATGCCATTTCAAACAAATCATTGCTTTGTTTCTATTATACCCATGTGAATCATTGTAATTCATAATTAGGTATTGGTTTTTATCATTAGGCACCTGTTCATCATTGTTAGGCACAAGTTCGTGATTATTAGGCACCTGTCCAAAGTTATTAAGCACAAGTCCATCATTATTAAGCACCAGTTCATTATCATCAGGCACAACTTTTGCTATTAGGTACCCATCTATTATTAAGCACTGGTTAAATTTTTCAAGATAGGCATCCTTCACCAGCATTTTTCCAAGTACCTTGGAAAGGGCATTGTGTAGCAAGCTGAGTAATGCTTGCGAGGAAAATGCCTCTTCAGCTGGAGAGCAACACAAAGATGTCTGTAAAGCCAAACAACATCTGTCATAGTACTCAAAAATTCTCAACGCTGTTTCTACCCACCATTTATGTTAAGTCTCACAGTTGCTTCTGCTCCATCTCCAGCGTCATTGTGTGGGACACATTGGTAGTCGCCATAGTGCTGAGATCGATTGACGTTGTTTAAGGTATACTCACTGTTGCTGTTCCCACTTAGGAGGCCGGCATTGAAATAGAACTTGTAAACTGACACTTGAGGCACAGCAGCTATAACTTTGCACTTGAATGTAACTGTGTCTCCTTCAGTGACGGTATTTTGTGAAGCATTGGTAGTGAGTGTTGCACCTTCGGGTTTGTCTAAAAATGTAAATCAAATCAAAATCTTAATCCCTATTTATTTTATGGCTCTTACATTCCCCCTAGTTCTGAAACATAACCCCTTGTAAAAGTCTAGAGGGTGCATAATAATGTAACAAGGAAGGGTTAAAGGCCCATTTCCAACCTTGATGCAACACGCGCCGCGACCTAGTTTCCTGTAACACCAAATTCCCAGGTCACTGAAAACCTTCTAAAATCGTCTTTCTCAAGAGCCATCCTAGACATATAGTGAACTGTTTTACGGTAAATACATCCGCCGTTCGTCAGTTTACAGTTTCCTTACAGTATTTTGAATTCTGTCCGAAAGAATGCGAAGAAAATTTTATTAAAGTGTTACGCTTGGATCTCTTCGTACTCTGTGAACAGAGTAGGCGAAAAGGACAACGTTCAATTTTTTTCACTTTCTAGAAGCGTTTGAGGATTATGAAGGTAGAATATTTTCCAACGAAAAATCGGTATAGTTCAAAGAGAAATATGGAGTTATTTGAGGACCGTGTCCAGCCGTGTCATTGAAAAGTTTTTTAGTGTCAAGCGTTTGGATGGCTTCGTACTCGGTATACAGGGTTAGCGAAAAACATCAAGTTCGAAATTGTAGGCTGCCTGGAAGCGCTTGAGGATTGTAAATAAAGGTAGAACATTTTCGTATAAATGTATTTTGGATTTCGTTAGACTAAGATTTCGACTCTCGAGAGTCTCGCCTCGTAGAACTGCGTTTACACCGACCAGTCGATGTAAATGTTTCGGAAGGAAGTATTCAAGGATGCGCGGGACCTATGCTTTACCAATGGCGTAGTCTTCGTTGCAAAGAGAGGTTCATCAGCAATCCGTTTCATTGAATTGAAAGGCAAAGTACTTTTAAAACCTGAACACCTGAAATCGCCAGCTGATTTACTTTCGCAGCTTAGTCGTTTCAGCTTGTCACTGAGGGTACAGGTCCAGTTCTACGGAAGCGGTTGACGACACATCAGAGATCTTTAGCTGCACAAGTCGAGAAAAAAGAAATTGTTCGGATTAACCCACCTTTAAGTAAACCAGCTTCCATCTGTGCGGCAAGTAAGGATATCCTCTTGTGTGCAGATGATGAGCAGAGAAGTATAATGCAGCTGGAATTAGAGTACAATGGAGTGGCTATCATCGGAATTGTTGGAAAATGGCCAAAAAACCTCTTTGGTACAATAAACATAGGCCCAACATAGATATTTCTCCTTTTAGGGCGTAGTTTGTTTGTTTATGGGAAAACAAATAATGTTACAACGAATTTTTTAATGTTAGTGTTAAAATGGCTAAAAATGAACCGTTCAATGTTATATAGCCAAAAAAATTAATGTTTAGTTCTATCGAAGTACTCCCATTCAGATCCTCTTTACTGCCTCGGAATCTACAGAATCAATGGATTCATCCAATTCCACGCCGAATTAAAACGTAGAGAACTGTTTTAAACAGAATATTTTTGACAAGTTCTTCAACTTCATCGGAGAAAACGCAGAAGGTATTTTGAGACAACGTGACAGGGTAAAAATAACTAACCAATCAGAGGCGCTATATAAACAAAAACGGTGGTTCAAAACAAAAACAAACGACCGCGTTGCATCAAGGTTGGAAATGGGCCTTTAATCTTGTGTGTGGGTTAATTTAGTATCAATCCGTGGAGTGCCTTGGTCAGAAAATATAATGCTTTTGTTATGGAAAATTGCAGCAAGTCATCCTCTAGTGGTTAGAATGCTGACTAAAAGCAGAATACTTTAATTCACACATTGCACGCAGAAAAACGATAGAATTACTGTAGCAAGAAAATCACACCAACTATTTCTCTACTAGGAAAGCTATTTTAAAACCTCTGTTAATTAAAATGAGCAATTTGTAAAGGCCAACTTTACTTGTTATCAGACATATAAACGTTATCGCTCATGCAGAATCTCTGTCGAAAATCCTTAATTTTGAGCCAGAAGACGAGTGCAACAGTATCCCAGTAGTTGCATTTGAGAGGATCTCGTCTCGCAAAAAAGCGAAAACCCAATTTGAAACTAAGACATTTCTTGTTTAGCTAACAGGATGATATATTTATCTGAGAATTGAAATAATTTCCACTGTCGTGAAGCGTTTCCATACCCAAAATTGACTTCTTTTTTGTTTCGTATGTTTGATTATTTATCAAACGAGTTGAATTTTGCTACCGGTAAAGTAGACGAGAAGAATGTAGCAGGAATAGTCAAACTAGTTCTGCGTGCGTAAAGTGATGTATCTGATCAGCTATTTTCAGGAAGATGAGTGCGTAGATTGTCAAATTAACACACGTTTTGTAGGAAATTGGTGCCCACGAAACGAGTAAAGAGAGTAGCTCTGATGATGAACCGTAAACTGGTTGACACATGAGGCATCCATGTTTTAAAGGTTAGCTTTCCGTCAATTAACGTTGGAGATAGGTCACTTTAAAGCTCAATAGACCAAAATAAGTTATAATCTTGTGTTTTTTAGTAGCAACATGTATCGTTCCATTGTGAAAGGAGGTCATATGCTCGGTCATGTGACATAATTTGCAGATGTTGAGCATGGTTGGCCTTCTACCATTAAGAGCTAAAGATATAATCGGAAGTTTCTTTTCATAAAAAACAAAAGAAATGGTCGGAAACAGTGGTTACCTAAGTGAGCCTTTTTTTCATGTCAAATTATACATGAAATTGGGTGGAAATGATATTTATCTCATTGCTTTAAGCTAAATAAGCAAATATTTGGCTGAAACTGCGGATTGTACGACCCTTTCATAGATAATAATAGAATACGGAGGGATATTTCATACATTTAAGTCGCAGAGGACCTATAGATATTCTTATACCAGCTCTAAAAGGCTATTTTGACTCCTTTGAGGTCGTGTGGTGTCCTGAGCATGATTGGGATTCGTGTTGTTAAGATGTAACTATAATTAAAGATTTTCGCAATAAAAATTGACTAGTTTCAGAATTATCAGTGGTTAAATGTTTTAAAAGTAGTTAAAAGATTGGGCAACACCCTGTTTCCATGTATTGAAGTGTGACGTACAAAAATCACGAAGAATTATTCTATCAAAATTCCATAATGCCATAATGCTACGGTCTCGTAGGCTTGGGCGAAATGCCATTTCTGAACATTTCCGTCATTTTTGTTTGTTTGTTTTTTCTAAATTACCTGATGAGAACAGAAAGCTTTCCAAATTATGTATAGACTCATGAATGAATCAAATGGGCTGTGAACCACTAAAAGTAACTAATGAATGATGAAGGGGTGAGATGTGGACCCCACTAGACTGGGTTTGTATTGAACTTCTAGTTGTAACTGGTCATGTTTTATATATGTGTAATTTGGTGTAACTTTCTTAATGACGAGTGAATTCAGAATCTAAAGATCAGTATACTATCCATGCCTGCTTTTTACCAACTCCAGAGGTCGAATGGCTGCGTGTATGCAAACACTGAAATAATTAACTATCTTACATAGCGAGGCAGCATAGAGCTTGCAGGTTACACAATGCCCCAAAGCAGGAGGTCATGGAAATCAACTACCAAAGCGCAGCATTTGTTTTTCCTTTCTCTGTGTTTAAATGAAAAAGTGAAGGCTGTAATTACTCTACAGTACAATACGTCACTTGTTCGGCAATCAAGCATTCAGTGTAAGGTGGCAAGGCTTACAAATAATGAATATAAAATGGATTCTCGCCCTCAAATAATATATCTCTTCGAGCGTCACACAGGCAAATATGTGCACAAATCTTAGGCATGCACTTTTAGTTTTAGCCCATTTTCGTATATGTCAGCTGATGTCAGCCATCAGTAAAAAATCATGCACTTTCTCAGCTGACGGTTAGAATTTTGGCCAATTCTCAGCTTTCCATTAAGCCCAACCAAAAGTTCTCACATAGAATCAGAATATCCGTTAACCTTGTGCGCTAGTCAAACGGAGTGAATTTGGATTGTCACGATGACTCGGAAATGGCTTTTAGCCATTTTCTGAGTTACATTTAAACACAGTCTTACTGATGCAATGGGTTGCTAAAACAATTGTTACTTCCTCCGAAGCAAAATAATGAACTCAATGATTCCACCTGAATTCAAATGTCCCAACCAAGATATGGGACCAACGCATACAAAGCCGAAAAGGATTTGAGGTGAAATTCTGTTTCCTTACACTTTTGAACAGATTCGTCAGTTTTGTGTACCTGAACCCCATTAACAGGAGTTGCACTGTGAATAAAGTTAATTCAGGAATAGAAAATTAAGGTTAAAATATACTTACAGTAAACTACAATCTTTGTGTCATTGGAAGTGACTTCCACTGAGTTATTGGCTCGACATGTATATTGTCCTGCATCTTTTCTGTTTATATTATGGAACTTTAAGGACGCAGCTTTCTTCCCTGAATTTTCCAGTACTCCATTTCTAATCCATGCTACATCCGGCGGTGGTTTCCCAGAAGCTGTACAGGTTACGGTGACAGGGGATCCTTCAATGAAATATTTTCCTCCTGGAGAGAGATATATAAGCGGTGCCTCTGAAAGGTAAAAAAAAAAAAAAGATTATAACGTTCCTCATATGGCGTAGCAAATCTCACTTGGAATGGGTCTTAAGAGTTACTCAATTTCCAAAAAAATAAACAAAAGCATCCAGGATTTATCCCCAACAACCAACTAGTATAGGGAGGCTCAAACTTCATTCAGTACAAGTTAACCTGTTGATGCTAGCTACTGGAAAACTTACCCACAAGCTAAATTGTAAAGCAGAGCCCCAGCCTCGGGAATCAAGGGCTAATTCAGGAAGTCACTCATTGGGCTAAGGAACCTAGCTTCAAGGCTACTCCCATTTTTTATTCAATTTTTTGCTGCTGCACAAACGAATAAGAACAGAACCAATTAAGCCACACCTAACTTAGAACTTGGTCTGACAAAGGATCTATGAAGACATCCTAAACCCAGAGAACTTCTACAAGAGGACTTTGCACAAGGGAGAGTTTCGAACTTTTCCTCAGCATTTTGAAGAATCATACCCACAAATAAAACGTTCTTAAGCCCAAGTCAAACAAAGAAAACAAATTACCTCCCAACATTAAGAATGGACTGTATGAAGACCACTGTTGACAATTTATGCTAAAACTAATATCAAACCTTTTGCTCCATCGATCATGTTATCCCCCTAAAGAGGAGAGTTACATTACAATACAATTGTGAATAGGTGTTTCCAAAACTTATGGTGAGATGATTCTAACTGATCCTTAAAACTGAAGTGAAATCAGCAAGGGCCATCAAAATATGAGTCAAATTAAACAAAGGCACTTGCTACAAATTAATTAACAAAAAACAATTAAATTTTTATACAGCATGGTTCAGTCTTAGTTTTGGACAAAACGCAAAACAGGCAATACCCAGAATGTTGGGTGAGAAATACTTGAGAGCAAAAGGGCGGCTTAAATTCAGGCTAAGCAGTTCCTAGTAATAACCGACACAAGATTTGAGCTTGCATTAGCAAGGAAACTGTCTTCCAGACCATCAAGCGATCTTAATGTTGATTAAGAAACTACAAGAGATGGTGGGAAAGAGGTTGTAGAGGCGACACCAAAATACTCTTCGATTCATCTTTGTAAGGTAATATTCATGTTGGAAAGTAAAGGTTTGAGTAAGAAATGAAAAAAATTACCTTCCAAGCCAGATTAGCTGAAAGAGTAAAACTACTTAGTATTATATTATGTGCAAGTGCTACAGGTTTGGGAAACTATACGTAGATTCCTTTAGAATGGAGTGGCTTGTTCGAAAAATTTCCAGATCTTTAGGTGGATAATACTAATTGTGCATCTTAAAATATTCATATACCCATTTAACTATATAAGGCCCTTTTAAAGTTTGTTAGATTTTAAGAGTCGCCAATTTGAAGAGCTTCCAAATGAAGATGTGACAAAGATATCATTAGTGTAAGTGTAGGCGAACATGATCAACGGTCACTCAACTAAACGAGAGTTTGGTGGGTCCAGATATGGCTTATCATTCTAGTTGACATTAATACAAAATCTTGCAAAGAGTTATGGAATAAACCTTTCAATCAGATATAACCTTTGACAGGAAACGGCTAAAGAACGTGGAAATAAAGACACGTACTGAAGAAACCAAAAATCAAAAAAACTATATTACCCCACCACTAGCTCCAGCTTGACTGAGCATCCCACCACTCCCTAAAAGAGAGGGTATAAGCCAAAGTGGGAGGTGAAGTTTCCTTGGTTACACAGCTCTGTTACCTAAAGAGGTGGGGAATTCTTACCGATGAAACTCTGCTAAACTTTGTTATTGTTGACAGCTTAATGATAAAAATTAGACACAGAAATGGAATACCCATCAGCGAACATAAAATACTGTAACTTTTGACTTTATTGTTGTTTCAGTCTAATATCTGTAGAGTGATATCTGCACATTTGCGATTACTGATCCGAAGCTTTGAAGGAAAGATGGTGCAATAAAATCTCCAATTCATCTCCCTGCGGCTAATTTTCATTTACCTGCCACGTCGCAGGTAGGTGCAGAACTGTCTAGTCCACAGTTTATACCAGATCACCATCAAGAGTGCGCTGTCATCGCTGCACTCTGCTGGTATTCCTATGCAAACGCAGCTGCGGCTAAAGTACATGAACACAAAGTGAAATTGTTCTAAATCCTAACAAGAAAAAGTGATCAACTAGGAAACTGGGTAACAAGAGGGCCAATGTCCTTCAAATTATGCTAAAATGTGCCGCCTATCAAAAGGAACAAAATAATTCTTAACTGTTCTCAAACCGCAGAAACCGTGGGAGCATTAGCCTCATGAATGTCATCGCAGTAAAATAGCAGAAACACTTGAAGATGAAATATAGTAAGGATAAAGATGATTTTTTTTCGCAACCCAATGCCAAAAGGATCATGGTGAACACACTAAATCAAAACCTGCAAAACTATTGACAGTGCATGGAACATCTTGGATATGGGGCTAGCAGACAGGAGAAAACTAGGGAATGAATGGCTGTCAAACTGGTCAAACGAGAATCTAAGTCACTAGCACACTTAGCACACTTCTCTACAACAAAATCTTGTTACATAATAGATTCCATTCTTTGTGCTATAACTTTTGTCCAAACGCAATCTAAATGTACACGACAATCAGCATTTTGGTAGAGATGAAAGAAGAAAGACTATCCATTAAATCCTCTAGGGGCCTTTTCCTTTTTTCATTTGTTTTTAAGTTTTGAAATCAAATTAAGCAATACTTAGCAGATATATCAATACTTGCAAATGTTATATGCCAGGGAGTGGATTTAACCGGATGTCACAAAGCTGTACAGTGACAAGGAAATAGAGAAGATTATGTAATGGTTGGTAAGCAAAAACAATTTTTATTCATGAGTCATAGACGATCAAAACCAGTAAACAGTGAGTTTGAATTCTTCTCCACAAGTAAATGAAATCGTTCAAGCAAACAATGAAGTAAATTGTACATGATTATTGAGATATCACAAATGTTTTCAACTTTGAATCACAGTCAAATGACCAAGAAGTTACATACTTAATATCACACTCGTTTTCATGTATTTAATGTTGTCAGGATATCCAAGATACTATATTCGAAAATGGAAGGTAAATCACCCAGAGAGAAGATTAAAAAGTCTGTCCAAAGAACATTCCGCTTCCGTTTTGAAAAGTTTAGGTTGCGTAAGCTCACAAAATGTTTCATACTCTAAATTGAAATTAAATACTTTTAGTCTCTTGGGGCTCTTTGGGGAATTCAGCCAGTTTCTCAGTGGGGCAACCAAAGCCATCAATAAAACTAGAGCTTTTGAACTGACCTCCATGTATAACAGCATCTGCTAAGAACAGCATTCCTAACTTGACACGTTGATCATCGAATTATTTTTTCTGTTTGCATACTCGGCGTCTTTCATACGCATCAAGAACTTGGATTATAGACTTTGTTGGTTTACTACTACCTTAACTTTAAGAAAGTTTTTCTCGATGGGCAAATTTTCCAGGTCTCGAATCGCTCTGATTCTTAGTTTCAAAATCTACTTGAGGAAGTCACCACTCTGTTGGCTAAACTTACATCGGTATTGTAACTTACATCTGTAACTTACATCTGTACTGTACCTTGAAGATCATAATCCTTAGAGAGCAGCAAATGGCATAGTGCCGACTTTCATTCCCTTCGGCGAGTCCCTTTAAAAGGCAATGCCTCTTTTTTCACACCAAATTAATTTGACATGCTGCCTGTGATTGCCCATACCATATTTTCCTTCATTTATTTAGCAAAATCGTATAACCATTCGAATTGTTTCTACTTTGACTGAACACTTTCAAGTGACAGCTTTGCTGAGAGAAAATCTCAGCACTCATATTAATAATAGTTATCTATGCATAACAGAGTAACGCAGTAGTTGGTGCCAGAAGAATAAAGTAATAACTCTTTGATTTCTTTCTGATAAGAAACAGCAAAGTAAATGGTAGAATATATTTTCTCCTTTTAGGAGTCTGGTGATGTATGCCAAGTAAAAGTAGCACTATTGTTAGCTAGCCACTTTCAGCCCTGCATATAAGTCTTGCGCAAATTAATGCTATTGTTTGCTTTCTCCAGATCTCAGAAATATGAGAGTTATGATTTGGGTTCATTTGATTTATGTTTGATTATTGATGGTTATGTCTGTTATACGTACCTGCCACAATAAGATGCACTGTACTTCCAATCGTCCCTACAAAGCTTCCATAAACACTACATTTAAATTCAGTATTGTCTGCAAGGTTGATGTTCCTGACAACCAGGGTAGCTCTTCCTTCAACTTTAACTCTTCCTTTGTAAGATGGAGGAATATCAGGATGTTCTTGGACACCACCACTGTTGTTAAAAATCATTCTGACAAATGCACCATTTACCAGAACACTGTAGAGAATGCTCCAAACCTTATTATGTGGATCAGTGTAGTCCCACACCAGGTTAGCATCACTACCATTTTTAAAGTAGCTTGGATTAGAAGGTTCCTGGGTGAAACGTACATCCACACCCTCTAAAATAGACAACCATAAACATAATATTCTCAGCCCTTTAGTTACATGTGTAAGGATAATATTTAGGAAGAAGGGTTTAAATAGAGGCACTTTTAGTGTAAACAGTAACAAAAATAAGTGTAAATATACACTAAATTGGTTTTCACTGATATCAATCGCTCAAAATATACTTTCATTAGCGAAGAAATAAGGTTCAGCAACAGTAATGTGTAACTGTTTGTGCCTTATGAAAATCATTTGTGACAAGTTCCGCTTTATTTCCTTTCCAAAATGTGTACAACGGGGAAATTCCAAAATTTAAAAGTGGTACTCTTGAAGAAATTTTTTGAAGAACATTTTGAAGTGGGAAATGGAAAGTCGAAATGTGCACACATATTATATGTTCAACCATTGAATGAGGGATTTATTATTCCACTAATTTCATTTTGTAGTCTTCTGGTTTCGAATTTTTTGAAAAGTTGTATGGTCTCGACAGAGCATCCTACCCATCATATAATATGTGCATGACAGAAGAAAACAACAGAAAAGAAACTATTTAAGTGTTCTTGATGACCAGAACAAAATTCCTGTGGGCTTTTATAGTTCACTGCTGAAAAATTCATGCCTAAAAATTTGAAAAAAAAATCAAAGATCACAAGCATTTCTTCTGTCCTTATTCTTTGTATAATCAAGGCAAATTTAGCGTATTCCATTGCTCTTACAAGGCAAAATGACATAATAGTAAATAAGAATAAAAAAAATATTCGCTGAAGATGAAGTGAATGTTATTCATCGATCTTTCCTTCGCCTTCAGCCAATAATTGTTTCAGTATCATTGCTCAGGTGCTTTCGAATTCTGTTCTAAATTCTGCAAATAAAGAAAGCACTGCGCATTGTTACAATTGTGATGATTACCTGTATCAAGATGAGCACCGGTTGTAAGATTTTTTTCTTAGTTGAATCGGCAAAAACTTCATCCCTTTGTTTTATAAGGTGTTGCGCAAATCTTCTAGTATCTTTGGTGCTCTTCGCAATTTAATTTCTTTCTATTTCATTTATCACCTCCTCATGAACATTTGACAAAATGCGAGGCAGCTATTTTGAAATTTAGTGCTCTTGCTTTAATCAGCCCATGCATGCTGATTATAGCGAGACATGATGCAATCCTTGACCAATCAGAACAAGCGCATATCTTTAATCATCTGAGCAATTTCCTGGAGGGAAAGTCACACTCAACTTAGCTAGCAGCAATTGTGACGGTCACTGGACATATGATTTCTCTGAGTAACTAAATATTTAGGAGCGCGTAGTTTTTACTCATTCGTTTTGTTATTAGGAATTTTCCTGTAAGATTTAGAAAGCTTATGATCAGCTAGGAATGCCTTTACATTTGAAAGTGTAAGAATAAATGTGGTTTTATGGCGTCCTTGAATGTGGTTTCACAGCGCCCTCGATTGTCGATAGAAGCAACGTCGGTTGTAGTTTAGTTGAGTTTGTACTGCCGTATTGAACAGTTCGCTTGAGAGAAGGCTAAAGAGCTAGAAAACTTGCTCTTGGCATGGTAGGATTGTTTACGCTGTTTGCAACATTAAGTACATGTGTAATGAACATTCGAAGAAGACTGATTACGTTATGGCTTTGTTTTGATTTAAAGTTGGAAAAAGGTTCTGTCTAGTTTCTTTGTCGAGTTTACGCCCCAATTTTCTTTGCGTACTATTGTTCACAGTTTCAATTACCTACTTGGCTAGCATTCCTAATAAGCCAATTTACAATTCTACTCGTGAATTATACCTTTATAGTTGTACGCCCCTTAAGTATCGAGTTTTGTTTTACATAAGATTGTTCCAGTTACGTAACGTTGCAGTTTCTCCAAGCCCTTTAAGACAGGATTAGACGAAAGTTCCAGCCTATTGTATTTAGTTTCCTTTTCTTTTCGATTTCGTTTGTTTTGTAATTGGCCTCAGCCCACTTTTAATGTTGTTTAATTGCAATTCCCCTTTTTAGTTTTCACCGCATGTGTATGATAGTCAGACGATAGCATTAAACGTTGTTAAATCATCTTGTGTTGTCGATTCCTACACCGTGGTTGACACTCTACGAACTCCAGTGCACAACACCCTGTGTCCGCTGCATTGGGTACGCGACAACATGTGCTTGACCTAGTTAATTACCGAATCGCCTTTAGTCGGTTAGCTTGTTGTCTAGCTTATAAACCTCGTAAATTCGCTAGGTTATTATTTTGTTTCGCTGTTAACAATGACTTCATTGTATTTTGTTTTTATCCCGTTTTTGCGTTTGCTTTTCCGTAGTTAGGAATCAGGCAAATTCTTTCTCTTGTTCACTGGCATTTCTCGTTTTATTTTCATCTGTTATTGTAATTGAAGGCGCGCGTTTGTTCCAAAACGTGTTCGCTTCAATCGTTGTTTGAACAATAATCGCACAGTTTTTCGTCATTTCAATCACTTTATTGCAATAAAACCTCTGTTCAATACACAACTCTTGTTGTTGGGCTATATTTTCTTAGTTTTGTTCTCACGTTTCGTTCGTTTTGTTTCGCTCTAGTTACTGTTTGAATTTCATAATTTGGCACTTAGGTCATAATTATTTGTTCGCCAATTAGAGCTTTTCCGTTCCATTTAATTTTCTTAGATTCGCTCTAACCTTGCACACTTGTATGTAGAATCCTCTTGTTGTTTAGTCGTAGTCGTCATGCGCGGTTTTACTGTAGCATTTTTATCGTTTTCAGCCGTACACGTTAACGTTCACGCGAATCACTTGTGCAACACGTCGAGTAATTTTTTTTTATTTCAGTTGTGTGACCATACGTCACATCCAGTTTATTGTTATCTTCAGCACAACTTTTCGTTTTGTCATTTCAGACAGGTTTTAGTCTTTTACGTCCTCGTATTTTCAAGAACCTTTTCTGTGCAATTTGCCTGTAGTGCTGTTGGTTTGCATTTACAATAAACTGCTTGGGAAATCTTTGAATCCTCCTCGTTCCTACTCGCTCGACCGCCGCATCTCGCTACATAATTATCCTTGCAGAGGTCATTATTTGAACCAAAAATGAGTGATGGATGGCAAGGGAGAGAGTTTATGCACAGATGGCAACTCTTTCCCAGGTTTGCATAGCCATCATGTTTGTAGTGGAAAGCCACCTGACAAAGCAGTAGCTTTTCTCATGGCTAAGAAGACGACCCACACTAATCAAGAAAATAGTGCACTTCTCAGTTTCAATTTTGATCTTAAATTCTGATCGTATGGTATTGTTACACTCGAAGCATAAAATCCTTTGCTCTTGATTTCTATCGCATCATAGTTATTCAGACTTCATTTATCACTGTATTATTTGTGATTGAAATTCCAACATCATATCAAAAATTTTGAAATACAAAAACGGTTGAAAGCTATCTTAGAGTTCGGAAATCATTGGGGCGAACATCACTTTCGGAAATTAAGGGTCGCCGTTTTCGTTTTCTAAGCTTAAAATAGCATTTGGTAAAAGACACTCTAAAATCCTTTGAACGGGAGAATACATTTCCGACTCACCTGACCCGTGGAACTTTACCAACAGAAGAAAGAGGAAGGAAATTTCATAAGCACGGAAAGGCACCATCGTATTAGACCTTTGCTGATGCTTCAATGAGGAAGGTTGTGCCAAAATCCTGCGGAAGTCACTTTGAAGGGATAGAGGAGAAGGCCCTTCTTCGTTTTGAGACTGGGACCAAGTGTCACGATCATCCTCGTGAAATTGTCGGCCCCAGTTGGCAAAATTGGATAAACGACATGACAGATGGTGTAATTTATGAAGGAAAACTCAATTTATGCTTAATACTTGTGACATTTGTTTGACTTGTAAAAAATCTTCCTCGCGGAGAAATGTTCCAATGTAAACAAATGTAAACTATGCGTGAAACTTGCAATGTGCCGAATGAGAGCGATACCGATGGCGCCGATATCGATCACGCGCGCGTATGAAGCTAAATAAAAGTCACGCAAATAAAAAATAACTTGTAACGCACAGTTCTCAACTCCTCTTTCTTGTTTATTAACCGTGGATGGATTTTTTTCAAAGGGCTACTTAATATAATTAAGATAGGGTTCCGCTGATCTATCCCCTGTGACGATGTACGAGAGTACCCATAGTCCTGGGCCGGAAACGGAAGTCAAGCGGATCACAAGCGAAATAATAACGCAATCCAGACGCGCAAACTCAGTCAGTACATAACAAGAAGTGCAGGAAAATCGAAACAAATACATTTTTTAGAGAGTAATTTTCCTCAAGATTACCTCTATCTTAGTATCAGCTTCTTCATGAACATTGGAACCATGTTATCTAAAAACATCTCAGACTTTTACTTTTGTGCCTGGTGTAAAATCAGCCGAGAAGGTACTGCACGAGCACGAAGTGGAAACAGCAACTAACTTTGTTACCTATTACAGCTACGGTGTTGGGAAGGTAAGTCTAAAGTCCGAGGGGCGCCTCAGATGAACTCCGGTCACGAGAGGGATGCCAGGGTGTAGGGGTTATGGGGAGACCAAGAAGGAAGAGGGGAATCCAGAAACTTCCAATTAAATATTGTAGCATTCCATAAAAACTGCAAATTAAATCTACTCTTTATGTCAATTTTGAGAGACACTTACATTATTTTCTCTCTTTTTTTGCAGAAACTGGAAACAGTAGAATAATATAAAAAATAAAAGCGCTACAGAACTTCAATCTGAAATGTGGTGGCTAGCCTGAAAAAAGGGGGTTTATATGTAGTTTTTAATACTCTATTTCAGATCTCATCCAAAAGTCAATACCTACAGCGAATGCCTCCCACGCAGACTTATTGACTAACTGACTGACTGATTACCAGATCAAATTAATGAATGAATGATCGAATGGATGAATGCATGTCTCTTCAATGCTCTTTTGATTTTTACTGAGAAAATGAAAGAAAAAAAAGTATTTTTTTAAGATCCCCAGACTTCAATGTCCCAACCAAGGATCATATATGATGGAGTTCATTTTATTATCGCTGGAGAGCGAGTATATGATTACCATCAGGGCACTAACTGGAATGCAGCTGATAAGCAACGAAGAAATAATGTTAAGGTGACAAACACATGGTGTTTTTTTTTCTGCGGTTCCAAGAAAAGTGCAAAAGAATAAAACATAAAAGCACTGCAGAACTTCAATAACTAAAATTTGGTGGGTAGCCTGAAAAAAGGAACTTTATTTGTGGTTTTCAATGCCCTATTTTAAAGTGATTCAAAAGTCGATACCTACTGCACATGCATCCCGCACAGGGTTATTGACTGACTGACTGACTGACCACCAACCCAAATTAATAAATAAATGTCTGAATGAATAAATATCTCTTTAATGCCCTTTTGATTTATCACAGAAGTAGTGTTTTAAGACCCCCAGACCGCAATGTCCCAACCAAGGATCACCTATGATGGAGTTCTTGTTATGATTGCCATCAGGGCACTAACTGGAATGCAGCTGATAAGCAACGAAGAAAAAATGCTAAGGTGACAAACGCATGATTGTAATGTTTGAAGATATGTTAATCAATGTGCCTAAAGAAGCCAGTCTTTCGTGACCTTTTCTAAGGCGAGGCAAAAAAGTAATTAATTGATTAATTAAAACAAAAATAGGACCAAAGCTGGGAAAATAATTATACGGAGTGTGTTTGTATATACAAATAGAATGAAATTGAGGATACAGAAGACTCACATTTTTGGTTTCCAAGGAATATTAATTAAATGATGATTAGATGGCAGAATTACTGTCTGTAACTGATTTGAAAATTCCTACCAGCTAGAGGTACAAGACTAAATAAAGAAAACTAAATGTGAATGCATTTATAAAAAAAGTAATTCCAAGGAGTTTACGACTCACTGGAAGTGTGGAAAAGTAAAATGTGGAGCAAACCATAGAAAAATATCGGGCAAAAGTCGACTAAATATGCAAACTGCACCTCTAGCCAGTAGTAAAACATTTTTCACTATTACGTATTAGAAGAACCGTAGTAAAAATTAGGCAAACACGACTGATGTTGTGTAGTGCCGCCATGGACGAAGGTAAGCAAGAGATACGTAACATTTCATCAGCCAGTTATTCTTTCTTTTTTTTTATATCATCAAGAACCATATTATTTGGCAAGAACTAGTTGAATTTCTGCTTCTTACATAATTATTGCACTTGCTCAGGTACTGACATTTATACTCCCAGAAGCTAATTGTTGGATGAAGTAACCAGCAACTTGGCCAGCAGTTTGAGCTCCAGTGTCACTTGTTTCTTGTTTCCCTTACATCTAAGGATTCTGCAGGACTTCGGACAGAGTCACTTGCAACGGCATAATTTAATATCTTTTATCTCCATATCTTTCAGAAAAAAAAGTATATATCAGTTTGATATATTCAAACTCAGCATTCCTTGCAAACATTTTCATTGCGTAATTTGTATCTCTCTCCAGACCCCCAAAAGTGTGACTTGTTGTACCAGGATCAGTAATCTTCACACTGTCCCTCTCGGTGTCACCCTTTATAATCATTCGGTATCCTGTGATAAGACTCCCTCCATTATCAGCTCGAGCTTTTCATCTCACTGTTAGTGAACTCGCTTGGAAATCTTCCACTGATGATGCCATGAAGGCGGGTCTGGTTCCTCTACAAACGTGTAAAGAAAAACTTGAACTATCTTTGTTTCACAATCATCAAAGTCTGAGGAAATAATTAATTGATAACGTACAGTAATGTGATAAAATATTTTGCTCAAATGTTACATGTATGACCACATGAGAAAGTATTCAATGTTTTGCAGAAGTACAGCTTCTGATGATGCTCTTCATTTAAACAGAAAAGTTGACCATTTCGATAACAATAACCAAGTTCCTCCTTGAGATAAGTGAAACTCCATTAAATGTTCATGGGTTGCAATGTCACCATGGCATGTGTTTTGCCTAAAACAATTGGAGAACTGGTGCGAGTAAAGTGCCGATACAGCCGCAGTTTCATCCTTTTCGAGCAATCTTGTGTTTCCAAATCAGCCAAATTTGCGGAAAGGCGTACGATAAGTTCTCTCTACAGAGGCCATACAGGTCTCGCACGCAACTCTCCATTGTCATCAGTCACTTTAACATTCCTTTGACTGATTTCGCTCTCTTATTTGTTATGTGCCATTTACACTTTTGATCAGACTACTTTTGTATATGATAACAGTATTGTGCTGATTAAGGAACGTTTGTATTTTCTCGTTCCCTAATTCACAGCAGTTCGACATTAGCTCAGGTTTCAAAAAGTGGTATTGAAATTTGAGTAATTTCAGGTTTTCATCCCCCGGAAAATGAAGCAACAACTGAATCTTACTTATCTGTGCTATTTTTATTATACTGTCGACATAGGGACTCAGTCCATTTGTAGCAATACACTTGTAATCACCCAAATCTTGATCGTCTCTGAACTTCACTTGCACTTTGTTTTCTCTAACTCTGACCCCGTTTATTTCTCTTCCATCAGGTTTGTATCAAGCCAGCTTTGGTACAGAAACACCATCAGACCGTCATTTTAAAGTCACCATCTGACCAATCCAAGACAAACCGGCTGATGTGGCTACATTTTGTGTAGAAGGTGGGTCTACAAAGTGAACAAGAAATAACTCAAGATGTAAAACTGTTACACCATTTGGGCATTTTATCGCTACCGGGAAATGTGCGTCTGGTGAAAATTGATAAATGCACATTTGAATTCCTAGCTAATTCTCTTTCTTTGCTACTATGTTGTGTCGGGGAAATTTTGATTTACAGAGCATCATGCTTATTAAAATGGTAATGTTGGGAAATGATTCATTAATTCTCAAATAATAACTTCAAAGAAAGTTACATGATCAGTAATGTCTGGCGACGGTCTTTCACAACAGTACTCAATTATGTTAAACGGCCTTAACATCTTCATGTACGCAGTCTTATTGAATACACTCGATTTCAAAAACGTCGACACCTAAAAAACATGAAGTGGGAAGTTTGGAGAGCACGAGAGAAGCATACGAGTTGCTCGAGGCGTAGCCGAGAGCAACTCTAGCTTCTCGAGTAAATACGATATACAAACAGCTAACTGAGCAAGAACCAATTCCTCTATAACAAAGCATGTAGATACAAGTTGCGGACGAAAAAAAAAAGGAAATTACAACTCAGTATGTTGGGTTTACCAGGTAATCGTGTTCTACCCGAAAACTATGACAAGGCAAAAAAGACTGAGAAATATCTTAAGACCAAATCTTTATTTAAAGAATTGATATTTTCTGCTCAGAAGAGAAAAAAGAACGACTTTCATGCATGTATGAGACCGCGTAGTAGATTCAGCGTGCTTGAATCGCTGTTTACCAGAATTCACGACCAGAACATTGCGTGGGTTTGTGTTCAAAATTTTGAGAATGTATGATTTTAAACAAAATCTTCTAATGAACAACACTTTTGGGACATATCTACACTTCAAAATAATATTTACTGCTTGAGTGACATAGCACTTACGACACCCGTGTGAAAGATTTACCATGCTTGCAGTTTTGTACAAATCTGTCTCGATAAGCTGAAAGGTACCTTTACATATTTACTAACCATTTACATCAAAATTCTGTTTCCTTTCGTTGTCACCTTCTCAACGAGCAAGATTTTCTTTCCATCCTTTCTCGTTTTGATTATCTGTGATATAAATGACTGTAAGAACACGATGGAGATCTACCTATCTTAATTCCGGCTTACACAAGTACTGATTAACTGAACGAAACTCAGTATTTCTCAATTGCAAAGCAATTCTTACGTTACACTGTCAGACTGAATATGGTTTTGGTAAGAGCATTAAATGCACATTTTTATTATTAAATCTTAAATCTTAATCCCAAAGTATTAAGGAATTATCTGGACCTTACGCATCGCTGATAAATCTGTTCCTCCTTTGGAACCCAGTATCTATTTATAGCTAATGTATAGCGCACGGATCTTTTAAGCCGTGTTCTAAAATTATATGAATACTGAAGTGACCCTCTATGAGTAATATGCAGCTGTTATATGATTACATTGATGATCATTTCAAGTCTAAGATGACTCACCATTATTATAATTTAACAGATTTAAAAAAATCGTGAAGCTGTAATGTAAATGTATTCCATGAGTGGTGCATGTCCTTGTGTGTTTTATGAAGACACGTAATAATTTGTTCATTAAGGTGTAGAAGCATAGCCAATTCTTTTAATCAGCGCTCGTATAGGGCTTTGTCAGAACCATCAGCATTTCGAGTGAGACGTTGGGAAATTAAGACGTTATTGCCAATTGAAAAAATTCAGCACATGTCGGTGTAATCACTCCGTTTCGGAAACATTCAGGATAAAAAATTAAAATGAGCGACCAAAAGCACTCTCTTTGCTCACTGTGGAGTTTATACGATGAACATTGGCTGATTGTTGCTGCAAGTAACTGGAACTCATTTCGATCTCATTTCTTACGGTCAGACCACTAATAAGCAAGTTCCATTCTGCTCGGCCTTTTTAGTATCTTCGATCCTTGCGTGCCGACCATTAAACCGTTCAAAGAAGAAGAAAAAAAAAGGTTTATAATGTCGCCTCCATTACAACTTCAAGGCGCGCGCAGTGTCTTTTAGACAAAGACTCAGGCAATTGTCCACTTAGAACTACGAAAAGACGTTATTGGTTCGGATAAATTAAGTAGACAGAATGTTCTAAAGTCTTCCCTGTAAATGCGACAAAGTTAACATCGCCAAGACTGGAAGACCTACATACAGGAAAAGCATAACAGAGACATTGGACGCGCTATGACGCGGACCTCCACCATTTCAGAGCACGCACATAACATCAGGCACTATACCCGCTCTGAAACTCATCACGATCTCTTGTCTTACATGCGCAGAGTAAAAGTTGCGATACTCATAACAGTCGCCCAACAAGATCAAAATGGACAGAAGAACTAAAAAATCCCATAAGCAAACCTTGGTGCCCAGGATAAAAAATTTATTACTAAGCTGTGCAACATTATGAATAATCACAAACATTTTTAATCGACACTTCAAGAAGAAAACAAATTGCAATGTCCTGCTCTGCTGACTTTTCCGAAACACCGCTGCAATTTGGCTTGCTGGGTTTTTAACTTAATAAAGGGCTTTAATAAAAGGGCGCTTTAATTTTGCGTGGAATTCCGGCAAATATTCTTTTTCTCATGCATTGGCATCTATTGTACCGCCGTGAGGATATGTTCATCATAGATTTCATCATTTTTTCCAGTATGTTTTTTGTTCATACTTCAGGACATTTGATTAAAGCTTATTAATGAAAACGACTTGATGCATCCCGAAATCAAGTCAGTCATAAATGTTTCTTTCTCTGGCGACAATTTCATTGAAAATGTTGTTTACATTAAGACATGCTTTTTCCATCCACAACATCCTTTACGGAAACACATTTCTACTTGCGTTGCTTATCATCAATGTCCATATGTACACGTTTCAGATCGTGTATACACGTTACTACATGTGCACTTGCCGACCAGATAGAACGGTACTGAGGAACGTGCATTTCGATTTACGGGTGTTTAACACTATTAGAAAATAATATAAGTTATCCAGTACAACAAATTCTACTGACGTAGATTTTTGAGTCGAACTAAGATTAGCTTTAGCTAACTCACACGCTCTAAAAAGCTTAGTGCGAAATCTGAGACATACGGCAAAAGATTCACAGACAGTATTGCTAAATAATAATTCAGTGTAAAGCACTATTGATCTGTACATGTAAATAGGGCTATACAACTAATAAATTATTATTATCATTATTATTATTATTATTATTATTATTATTATTATTGTCTGTTGAAACACGTACAAGCGATATTTTGCACACCCGGAAGCTCTTTTACGCCCAGGTAACGTTGGTTTGGTTTTTTCCTTCCTTCGAAAAATAGATCTAGAGAGATGGGTCAAGATATAATAGATCAATGTCGTGAAGTGAAAGATGTGATCTTGTTTACGGCATCATCATGCAGACAGAGTCAACTCCGAACTTTTCAAAACTTTTATTATAAAAAAAAAATCAAAGTTATTACATTAACGTGTCCAAGACAGAAAGGCTTGAACGCGTACCTAACACCAGATTCGTTTAGTAATAGTATCTAGTACGCGAAAACTATCGGGCTTTAAGGCCAAACAATAAACTTTCTTGCAGAAGTAATGTGCCAAGTATAATTTTGATTAGAATACCGTTAATTTTACTGATACTTTCAGTGTAAAAGTATTTCGAGTTGGTATCGCAGGTATGGGCTGTCTTAGGGAAAGCAATTTATGCGCACTATAGCTTTCCTGCAAACAAGCGGGTTTTGGGACAAAAATGTTTTTAGCAATTTGTTAAATTTTTGTTAAAATTGTACAGCTATGGCACTCAGAGCGAGATCTCATCAAACTGGTAAATTGTGGTAAATTGGAATTTATTTCTGCGCTTTCCTTCCTTTCAGAATTGAGCCAGAAAATAAACTGAATTCAAACGTTTGTGTCGAGCATACGTCTAAGCGCTTAATTTGTTAAAGAGAAAAATGAGAGTATTCTTTATCGGTAAACTTATAAAAGCGTTTCAGCGTTTAAGAATATAAAATCAATTGAAGTACAACGTTCGAGATTAATTGCTTAACGCAACATGTCTATTTCTACCAAGTAAGCGTGTAAGGCAAAGATGATTAATCCCTGAAACTTGTGTGGGAGAAGTGTTCAAAATGTTAGCCAGTCATACACTGTGGACGTGTAACTAACTACACCATTAAATCCTCGACGTTTGCATACAACTGCTTGTCGTACATTGTCATGTTGATCAGCTTCTGCAGAGAAAAGTAATTTAATAATCAGCATCATTAAAAAAGTGTTCCTCCTGCGTGATTAGCGGTTATCCTCACAAGTCGTCAGCTTTTCACACCAAAACAAATTCAAGGAGGAAGTGTTTTATAGCGTCGTCGTCTGCTTCTATTTGTGCGTCTCAATGCAGTTTTGCAATCATCCTATGATCTTTTAAATAACCACAAAGTGTCAATTGTCATTGAGACATTCTAGTTCGCTTCTTCGCTGTTTTTCGTGGAGTGCTAGCTTCAGTGACATAACAAGAAGATTCGATCCAAACTTCGTAAAATTGGGTACATATTATTACGCTATCTAGGTTCAATGCTGTTAAGTTTAACCCTAATAAGCTGAGCCTAAGCCAGTCGGTCATTCGTGAAAAGAAACTTTCATGTTGATCAAAATTCTCACCTTGTGTAGGGTTTCCAAGTCGTTAAGCTGATTTTTCAATTCAGTGAAAGTTGGTCTTGCATCTGGGTCATTCTTCCAGCATTTCATCATGATCTGATACCTGGTATTGTTCAAATGATTTGTTAAATATTTAAAGAACGTTTCCTTGTACGATAAGGAAAAACGAATCAACAAAGAAAGCTTACAATTTTTCATCGACGTGTTGTGGTTTGGGCATCCTGTATCCATCCTGAAGTAAGTTTGCAATTTTTCTTCCATCCATTCGTGGGTAAGGCGAACCGCCTGGAAGAACCACAAGACCATCGAAATATGAATGTGACGAAACAATGACCTCCACTGAAACACCATCTGAGTCACTTGATGGAGTTTAAGGTTGCATGGGGAAGCTCAATGCGTTTGTCTAACTGAACACGACACCTTGTAAATATGCAGCAAAATAAAAACAACAACAACAACAAACAAAATAAACAAACATATCCTCATAAATTTCCATTCGATGTTACCTATGGTGAAAATCTCGTATAGCAAAACTCCATAACTCCATCTGTAGAATGACAAATCAAACAAATATAGATTAGATGACTGAAGACATTAACATTATATACAACAACTAAAATATATGTATTCTTTGACAAAGCATAGAATTCATGTCCTGATTAAAATTGTTAAAACTTCTTGGAAAATTACTCAGGGTAGTAATCGTGTATACTTACACGTCACTTTTGGTGGTATATTTACCATACAACAAGGCCTCATAAGCTGTCCACTTCACGGGAAGACGACCCTAAAGATTTTAAATATCACTTTGTGAAACAGCTCAAAAATTATAGGAAGCGACTGGTCGAAGACAGTGATATTTAAAGTTGTACTAGTATACGCATGGCTAATTTTTTCATTAGGGTCCCATCCAAGATTTCATGATCAAAATCAGGAAGACATCAGCATAACAACAACAATAGTTGTGAAAGATCAGTAAACTGAACGATATGTGGTACCACCCCCACCTCCCCTCTTTCTTGATTACCTTAGTTTTTCGTTCATAAATATTTTCCTGCTGCACATCTCTGGCCATTCCGAAGTCTGTCACTTTACACGTTTCCTTTTGTCCAACCAACACATTACGGGCCGCAAGGTCTCGGTGAATGATCTAAGAAAGAATTGGTGCAACAGAAAAAATTAGCGCTTGCAGAAGAAAAGAACTAAAATGAAATGGTTCAGGTAGGCAAATAGAAATGTCTAGCAATATAATATGGTGTGCGTATTTCTCTTTCTTCCAGAGGGCAGAAAATTAAATTTACTTCAATTACTGCCTTATATTCCAAAGAGAAGCAACTACTTTATTTCTGCAATACGTAGTTATTTCATTCAACGCTTATCTTGAGATTTTAATCGAAATAGGATTCTGTAATAATGTAGCAGTTTGGCGACTAAAGATGAATCTTTCAATTTCAAGTTTTCATTCCTTTTCTTTCTTGTCACTAAATTGGATATTTGTTGTACACTCAGTTTACGCTGAATATCTTAAAAAGATCCTATTCATTCACGTCTCTGCCTTTGCGTACACGAGAAAAACCCAGATATTTTATTTCAATGGGGTGCATTTGCAACGATGCGCAAATATCGCCATTCACACTTTGAGATAAAACTTAGATGATGACGTCAAGATTGTGAGGGTTCCCGGCCCTAAAAAAAATAGCGTCAACAAGACGGTAAGAATACGTTTGCTTCTCCCGAGCGTGATCTTGTGAAGACATAATTAACTTACAGATTTTGAGGACAAGTAACTCATTCCATCGGCAATTTGCCATGCAAACTTCATCAGCTGCTGTGACGTCAGATTTGTTTGTGGTTTGACATCCGGGTCTTTGAAGTAAGTGTCTTTTAATCCACGGCTCTTTCTCAGGTAACCCAGCAGATCCCCAAAAGGCACATATTCAATCACAACCAACAGCTCTTCTGAAGAAATTAAGAAATTTAATTGATATATTACTCTCTCTCAGAAAAAATTAGCAATAAATAAAATAAATAAATAGCCCAGTCATGGTTAAAACTGTTGAAGAAATCGCACGAGAACAAGATGTAGTTTTACAAAGAAAAGCTGGAAAACCATGTAACGGTCTCGTAAGAAGGTACAGACCAAATATTCGCTTACGCGTTTCTGGTTATACAACAGAATGGTCTGTTCAGTGGCAAATATTTGGTCTTAGTCTATCAGTGAATTCAGGACCGTCTATGTCGGCTAAAAAAAGATAAAATTACCTTATGCAATGGTTTTTTGTTGTGCTTAATTGTGAAGCAGAGACTCTTCATTGAAGCAAATTATCAATGACGAGAAAACGTTAAAGGGTAAATCATAAGCAAACTGCGTACAACAAAATAAACCCGCATAACCAAAGCATACCAGATTCTGTAACACATCCAAGAAGTTTAATGACGTAAGGATGTGGTTTTAGCTGCTTCATTGTGTCAAGTTCTTTCATCAAATCTCTCTTGTCCGATTCAGTTGCGTTTGCTGGAGCGTTAAAAACAAGGAGTAAAATTTGATTAAAGGGAAGATTATGCGAAATGCCAAAATAATAACATACGTTATGGAATGGCAAACAGCTAAGAAAAATACTGTGACCCAGTAACATTTCCTGAATGGCTGTAGGCCAAGACTGTCATTCAATTTAGGTTACAAAAGCTCACCTTTCAGCATTTTAATAGCCACTGTGGTCGTTTCAGGACTCCCTCGAAGTCCTACTGCTGTTCCCTTGGCAACCTGACCAAAAGCACCTTTACCAATGATTTTTTCTATTGTCACGTGATGTCTTGGAACTTCCCAGGAACGTTTTAACGGATGAAGAGGCACGTAATTAGCACCTGGAGCTGTTCTTTGTGCTTTTCTATCATCTTTGTTGACTTCTATGAGATCCATGTATTCCGCAGGAGGATGGGTGAATTTTCTTGAATCGGGTAGACTTGGTTCGATATCTTCTAATCCTGTTTCATTCTATTAAACCAACACACCGTTAAGGTACTCATATACAAATCTATTATTAATCCCAGTAAAAAGTTCCACATGGTTACAAAAATCAGTCCACCCATTTTCATCAGACAAACCTTTACATTCTTGCATGTGAAAAGATAGCAAACAGTTTATTATCTCTATTTTCCTTATCATTACTAACATTTTGTCCTCTGCTCCAATGGAGTTATCGAGGTTCATAGCATATTTGCCGAAGCTGCAAAATGCAACATGAAGATTGTTGATTGGTAGTGCAATGTTTTGGCAAATACACGCACAAAAAAACTATTGCTGTACTCAGCTCCTAGACTTACGTTTAGAAAACAAGGCATCAAGAAAATAAGACAGCCAAAAATGCGCGAAAACAACTCTTTAAAAAGTATATATCAGCCGGGTGCAGACCAGTTAGCGATCTATAAAGTGAAGCCACGCAGTTGAACCAGGGCCAACCCAAGGAAAATCCATGGAGTAGCTTGGTAAGGACAGGATCCCACGACAAAGACCTTATCGAGTCTAACTTCCGCCCCTATTTCATTGTATCTTTCATTAATGCAATACGCTTTTTTTTTGTAGAACTACACTTTTTCCCTTCTTATTTGTTGCAAGCGTTTATTTTCTTGTAGAAAGTAGATGTAATGTGAGATTACATAATTCCTGGCCACACTAACATGACCTCAATGTTTTTGCTGTTACTTACGTCGTAAACACCTCTTTCATCTTCATAAGTCCTACAATTAAGAAAGCATACGAATATTTATAACAAGCTGAGAATTTCAGCTTTAAGTAGAATTTTGTGATAAGATGAAACCACATCTGGCACATTACATCGACACAATCCAAGTGGAAGCAAATTATTACCTTTGTTTCCCTACAGCGCCTGAAAAAGAACGAAAGAAAAGAAAGACAAATGATGTGGATATGGGTCAAGATTTGTTTTTGCTTAATAATGAATCTTGCACCCAAACCCTCTAACATAGATTATGATTTTTTTGCCTACCTTTCTTATGTAGCCAGATTATGTAAATAATTAGAAGAAGGATTGTGAAGGCAAGAACCCCAATTATGGCCAGCAAGACGTTGTTGGATGGGCAGTGACATTCCTCAGGACCTAAAAAGATTCATTTTACAAAGCTCGATCAAGTAACATTCAAACAACATTTACACTGATCCTGGTCGATAAACAACTCTCACTACATAGCTTATGCTAATGACCGAAAAACTAACTCTAATTGGCTAGGTTTCGTAACACCGTGAATGTAAGGAATAACAGCAAAACCAGTCGCTGGTTCCTTCCCATCAGGAGTATTACTAGTTGTTACTTCATTCATTAATTCTTTAAACCAGAGTAGCACTAAACCATATCTGATTATGTACCTGGTTGCTTTGTGAACTTTAATGTATTTAACAATTTCTTTGTTATTCTTACCTTTTGTTGTGCTTTCCGAGACTTCTGTGGGGATAAAAACTCTATTTTAGAGCTCAATAAAAGTAATTGACAGTGGTTAAAAACAATAGAGTTCCTCTCTGGTGGAAAAAGTAGTGCTGTTACAGTGATCAACGTAGCGACCCTTGAGTCCAACTCCCCTATTTACGCCTGGTGGATGGCGCTTCTCTTTGCAATGCGTTTGCATGTCAAGGGTCGCTTCCCTGTCATTATATATAAGTCCCGTAAAGGACTGTAATTTCAGAAGTTGATATTATTCACACAGCCATTGGCTGCGAGTATAATTGCTGCCGTTTAATTATTATTATTTAATTAACTTGTTAACTGAAATGTAGTAACAAAATACACTGCAAAACAACTTCTCGTACATCAGCCAATAGGCCTCTAGTTGGCACACAAATATCAACTGCGACGTAAGTGAAATTTTTCTCGTTGATTCAGGTTTTTGCCAGCGAAGAATTCACCTGTAAATACCTCGATGTTGATGACACGAAGAGTGCATGAAAACTAAGAAAATAAACCTTTGAAAGGGAAAAATAAGATTCATTTTAATATACTTCCTTGTGCCTTGACTTTCTGGATATTTGCTTTCTCTTGTTTCAGGCTTTCACCAAGCTCATTAGTTGCAGTAATGGCAAACTGATACACCTTTCCTCTCCCCAACGCTATTTTTAATTCTCTCACAGAAACATCTCTGATTTTCCTAATTACTGTCCACTGTCCTACTTTTCCATCAGTCACTACTCTTTGGTACACTGTATACATGGTAATAACTTTTCCATTATTTTCTGGCTCCCTCCACTTTATAGTAACTGTGTCGTCTGCTGTTTCACCTAGTAGTTCGTCTATTTCGACCACATCTGGGGCTCCTAGAATGATGTGAACAACACAAACAACGTGAAATGTTTAACAATTATACAACTGATACACTGACCTCTACTAGCATTTAATTGCTACCTACATATGATCAAATGAAGGACCAATGCATAGACGACGTTGCAATTCGCCATTTATTTGTGGCACGTAATTACAGAAGGAACTCACTTTGCGTGCAACTATTTTCTGCTTTTCAAAGTTTGACATTGCGCATGACTTAGTACAGGTACTCGGCAATGACACAAGGTAAAACTGAGTGTACATGCTCCGCTTCCCGAGCCATTTGAGTGTCCAGGGCTACGATTCTTCTTCTCCAAACATAAGCTGACGCGGGTTTTTCCGTTGAGACAACAAGCTTTTTTTCTCCAGGGAGTTTGGCAACTGAGGAGGCGATGACAAGAAGCGCTGAAGCGATAACAGGTGCGACGAACTTCGTAGCCATGTTACGGCTGCCCAATTTCAATCAATAAATTCACACCTGTTACCTTACTACTTTTTTTCGGTTGAGTGAGATATATGCCGGATGAGATTCGAAAAAAAACTTCCTGAAAACGGCAACCTTAATTTTTTTGGTTTGGGCTTATCCCTGCGAAATGAAAACAACCTTTGGGAATTTTATAATGCCGCCATTTTCCCTCGATAGACAATATAATTTATACTGGGGAGTATAATTTTACTGACGGTATTACCGACTGGAATTGGCTCTAGAACTGCTGATTTGTAAGTCTGTCACATAGTTTTAAAAGAAAATCGTTACAAACAAACCTAGCGTTAACACAAGAAGTACTACACGTGTAAAACAATGGAAGGTTTTGCGAAGAAAGTGTCCAGAAGTGCGCAAAAATGTCAATGAGTTAGTAGCAAATCCTGATAGCTATGGGACACATGGAGGTTTTATTCTTTTTATGTGCTTTGAATATAGCTGGTAGGTATTTAAGAAAACAATATCCATTCACCTTGATTATAAGAGGTTTAATTTCGTGCTTTAGCTTTTGAAATACCTATCTCAAACTTTCTTCGTGCGTCGTAATGTTTCTTATTTTATCAGGTTACAGCTTAAGCTTGACTTCTTTCACTCATACTCTGTTTTTTTTTGCGCTCGTACTTTTCGTACTTTCCGTACTGGTGCATTTTAAAGAAAATATATGGAGGACTCTTCGAGGCCGTCCACAAACTGTTTGACGAGATTTCCCAAAATATTGGCAAATTAAAAAAGATTTTCATGAAAGCCCATTATTTCAAACTTCAGTTCTTTGGTCAACCGATGTGTGAAAATTGTCTCACTGTCAAAAGAGATAGTTATTGGGTGTTCTGAACCTAGCCGGTAAGAGTTAAGGAAAACTACATCCAACCAACTGTCTAGCGACCGTTATTGTCGTTTATTTATACGAACAGGTTATGAAACGTGAACACCAAAAAATGAAAAAAACAAAACAAAAACAAAAAAACAATACTTCATAAAACGGGTAGCATTTACGGAACGTAGCCACGTAGGTTGTTTATTGTTCTCACCTATGGTCACTTGTGGTTTATTTATCATTATGCTGGGACAAATCTAAGTTTGCAACAAAATGATTGGTGCAAAGTGCTTAGTCACGAAATCACTTGTGATTACTCACCTTCAAACTTGGTCTTAATCGTTCTTACAGTAGGATCTCCCTCGAATACAAAATTTCTGGAAAACAGTTTCACCGTGTAGTTGGTGTCTCTCTCCAGTTCACGAAACGAATAACTTGTCGTCCCAGGATCGGTGATATCACCTTTTTCTATCTCAGTTTCACCCTTTTGTAGGATCATTCGGTATCCTGTAATCGGACTTCCTCCATCATCAGCTGGTGCAGTCCATCTTATTGTTATAAAAGTTCCTTGAATGACTGATTCTGATGATTTGATGGATGCTTTCCCTGGTTTCTCTACATAGTGTCATAAAAAAATCATTTTGAGCAAAAAAAAAAAAAAAAAGGAAGGAGAGATTTTTTTAGGTGATTACCACACAGTGAGTCCTTTAATGAATACTCATGTAGCTACCAGATAAATTCAACCAAGAGCCTAATAAAAAGAAGAACAATTAAGAGTCCATGGTGGAGGAAGTTTCCTGTGGACACACGTACGGGAGGATGTCGATCTGCCTGAAGTTCAGTGATCTCTTGTAACGCGTTTAATGCTACCAAAGGGCAAGGCGTCGACAGTTTACTGTAAATCCTTTTTTTTTTAAATTATGAGTGCATTTTCCACTAAGAGATCAGGCTGACTATATCTGGCATAATTCCACTAATAAGCCTTTCAGTATGCCTCACTGGGGTAACGAACGCGAAAAATATGTGACGGTCTAAAACGCTAAAGAGGGGGAAAATGCGAACGGAACGCTCAGATAAGGCCAGATAGGACGTGCGTCGAAATTTAAGCGGCCAAATTGTTAGAAAATGAAAAAATAGTAGAATGATAAATCTCCTATTCGATGGTTGAACATAAGCTTATATTTTTCCACACACCTATGGGCCTTGCAAATTATCCGCATGTATTATATCTTAAATAATCGAATGAGTTGTACAAAGGGAATGAGTTACCTTGTCGAGTACTTTGTAAGAAAATTTGGCTTTTACCTCTAATACACCCGAAACAGTGATAGTGAGCAAAGGCAAAAGAAAATGCGGACCTTATACATAGTTTTCTTCATATCAAAATACACTGATCTCTTTTACTTACTTATCTGATTTATCTTAATTAATCTCTCATCAAATGGAATAAGCTCATTGACAGCAATGCACTTGTAATGACCAAAATCTTGGTCATCCCTGAGTGGCACTTGTACTTTGTTCTCTCTGGCTCTGACTCTGTTTATTTCACTTCCTTCGGGTTTGTACCAAGAGAGCGTTGGTGTAGGAACACCATCAGAAAGACACTTCAAAGTCACTGTCTGGCCAATCCAAGACTTCTTAAATGACGTAGTGACATTTTGAATTGTGGGCGGGTCTAAGAAAAAATACCAATGCAATAAGCAATTGAATAAATAATTGGTGATACTTCATATCAATCAGAATATTAATGAGCTTTATCATTCCTCCACTGTGTCATTTTACTAAGTGAAGTCATGAGAACAGGAAAAATATGCCACAGAATTACCCTTCAGAACGAGGCCAAAATACGTAGCAACGTTGGTCGCACTGAACGATCCAACCTTAATTTTTTTGTTTCAGCCGTTTTGCCGGCAGGGCATTATTTTTAAGCAAAGATGTGGTTCACGACCTCAAGCCGATAAATAACTTATTAATCCTCTATTTCCCTTCTCTCACCCAAATTGCTGTAAATGCCAGAAAACACTTGTTTAGAAATGAATTTTTGGTAGAAAAATTGTGTCATTAAATAGGTTGACTCGCGGCTAGAAGCCTTTTGTAATTAATTTTAAGCCTTCACAAAAAGTAACTCAGAAAGTTAAAGCATGAGGTATTTGTTTAAAATTGAACTAATTGATAGGACTTTCATTGATTCAATAGCAGAGCGCGGAGAGCGCGCACCGTAGCCCATACTTATAAAAAAAATAGTAGCAATAACAGAAACTCATCAAGCCGGAAAAATTTGATTGTACAACCAAAATAGGGTAGGGTACGAATAGCCATTACGTAAGTATCGGGGAAACAGAAAGAAATGCACACGTGCGATCGAATGCGTAACTCAGAAAATCCCATTTATTTGGATTCGTGTGCACTACAAAACTCAAGTAAAAAGTAGGCTTATTTAGTATTATCAAGTGAGTTGATGACGTTAGTTAGCCTCCGTAAATAGATAAAAAGATGACGTTTCAAGTGTCAGCCCTTTGCTCTGTCGAAGAGCCAACGCTCGAAACGTCAGCTTTTTAACTCTTTACGGTGGCCAATTTACGTTATCTACTGCGTGAGCTCCCTGTGGTTGGAGGGTGGTTGAAAGTCCAAATCAGCAGGCTTAGTAGGGGCGGCAAAAACCTGATGACTAGGTTTTCAATGTCCCCTTCAAGCCAGCCTGGCTGAAGAAAATGCAGGGGGCTTAACTACAAGGATGTCGCTCGCATGCAGCCCAGCCACCACCCTATTCTTTGGTGGGATGAAAATCTCTCTTTGTAAGAAATTTTCAATTTTGAAAGGATTTTTTCTTGGATATTGACTTGCTATGTATTGGTGAATTTATACATGTAGATATAAATACACCCGTTTTCTAAAACGTTGCAGTTTGAAAATATATAATTTTTTTTTTAATCAAAGAGGTGATGCACGATAAATGTATATTTCACATAGAGATAACACTACTTTTTTATAGTACGAAGGTGAAACAAAGACTTGACGTCAGCTATTGTGCTGTTCCTTTTTCCTTATAATTAATTCTGTTGTCACCTATTTATTGGAATAAAAAGTGTATTTATTTTTTGGAATTTTTTAATTGCAACGTTTTGAAAATGGGTGTATTTATGTGCAGTCAAACCTGTCTTGAGCGGTCACCCACAGGAGATGGCGTTCCACAGAATAGGGGTAATATTTAAAATGATAAAAAAGGCCTTTTATGCCATAATTGACCACTTTAAGTACAAAAAATCGTGAAAAATTCTACTAACATTAATTTCGGGAGAGAAAAATGAATTAAATTTTAGATATAAACTGATTCTTAGTTTTAATTGAGTGGTTCCACTTTATGTGGCCGTTTATGACAGGTGGAAGACAATACAAACAGGCTGTTGTCACTCACTCAGAGGTGACCACGACCACTTAATAGAGGTGACCACTAAAAAGAGGTGAAAATTACACCGATTAAGGAGAAAAAAATTGGAGACTTTGACAACTGACCACTAAATACAGGGTAACCGTTTAATATAATGCTGCTTAATATACGTTCGACTGTATCATGGATTCAGCAGCAGTAGCAGCTTTTTATGACATACTAAAAAAAATACTCACATTGCACAGTGACATAAGCGCTTACTGTCTTTTCCTGTTTCCCTCCATTGCTTGCGATGCAAACATATTCCCCTGCATCGTTCCTGTTACTACTGGTGATGTTCAGCTGTTTGGTTTCAGACAAATTAATCCCGGATTTTTCCCATCTTATCTTAGGTTCAGGAAATCCCGAGGCATCACAACTCAAAACCAGAGGAGTTGACGAATTAACAGTTATATTCTGTGGCAATTCTGTGAACTGGACAGGAACTAGGCAAGAGAAGAGGAACAACAAAATTTCCACACCATAACATTAGAGTGCGATATGGTTCAAAATCATCCACTTCATATGCTATGGATACTAGATTATAAAATATAGTAGATACATAAAAAAATATCAAAAAAAAAAGAAAGAAACTTTCACTTTGTCAGCTCATCATAATTTGCATCAGTTTTAAAATACTCTAATAAAACGCGTAAGTCTACAGTTTTTGGAAGACAGGATAATTGCTTTGAAATAATAATTTGGTCTTTTTTTATTGAAAAAACAATCAGGCCAAGGATAAATCTCAAAATTGTACCTTAATTCCAGGTATTCTGCTACACAACTAAATGTACAACATTAAAGGCTCCCAAAAAGCTACACAAACTTACAGACTTCTCGTGTCCGAAAACAATCTAAGGTAACAAAACAAATTTGGTCATGCAGTGGCAATTCCGTCAAATCATTGTTTTGTTTCTATTATGCACTTATCAATCATTATTAGACTTGTTTTGCTATTATTAGGTACAAGTTAATCATAATAATGCATTGGTTTTTATCATCAGGTACCCGATCATCATTATTAGGCAGTAGTTCATCATTATTAGGCATCTGTCACAAATCATTAGGCACAAGTCCATCATTATTAGGCACCTGTTCACCATTATTAGGCACAAGTCCGTCATTATAAGCACCCATTTATTATTATCAGGCACAATTTTTGCTATTGGGCACCCATTTATTATTAGGCACTGGCTAAATTTCACGACAGGCATCCTTCACTAGCACTTTTCCCATGCACCTTAAGGAGGAGCTTGTGTGGGAAGCTGAGTAATGCTTGTGAGGGAGAGAGCAATGCAAAGATGCCGCACAACATCTGCCTTGTTTCCATCCTATTACTCCTAGGAAAAGTCTATGGGGGGGGGGGGGGGGGGAAAGAGAGGAGGTGGGCACAACACGTCAAACTCATTATAAAGGTATCTATTCTTCCCTGTTTGGGGTTCTAAAGATTCACCGTCTGGGGAGTTTCATGGACGCAATGTAACCTGGTAAAAATATTTTTCCCGTTTTGTACTATAATTCCAATGTACTTAAAAATGCTCAGAGGTGTCTCTACCCACCATTTATATCAAGTCTTACAGTGGCTTCTGCTCCATCTCCAGCATCATTATGTGGAACACATTTGTACTCGCCATACTGTTGAGATCGATTGACGTTATTGAGAGTATACTCACTGTTGCTGTTTGAGCTAAGGAGGCGGCCATTGAAATAAAACTTGTAAATTGAGACTTGTGGCACAGCAGCCATAACTATGCACTTGAGTGTAACTGTGTCTCCTTCAGTAACAGTATTTTGTGGAGCATTGGTAGTGAGCCTCGCACCTTCGGGTTTGTCTAAAAATGTAAATCAAATCAAAATCTCCAATCTCTGTTTAATTTATGGCTCATACATTCCCCCTGGTTATAAATCATAACCCCTTGTAAAAGTCTAAAGGGTGCACGATAGTGGTACAAGGAAGTGTTCATCTTGTGTGTGGGTTAATCTAGTACCAATCTACTGAGTGCCTTGGGCAGAAAATGTAATGCTTTTGTAATAGAAAATAACAACAAGTTATTCACCTATGGTTGGAATGCTGACTAAAAGCAAAATACTTAAACTTGCACATTGCCTGCTGAAAGACAATGGAATTACTGTAGCGATAAAAATAAAACCAACTATGTTGTTACTGGGAGAGCTATTTTAAATCCTCTGTTAACAAAAATGAGCAATTTGTGACGACCATTTTTACTTGTTATCGGACATAAAAACATTGCTGCTCATGCAGAATTTCTCGTGAAAAATTGGATTTTTTTTTTTCCCAATTTGAATCTAAGACAATCCTTATCTTGCTCAATTGGTACCAAGATGATATATTTATCTGAGAACGTTCTGTGTAACAGAGCCCCTCTTGATCAATTTAAGAGAAAGCTTTGTGCAAAAAGCTTAATGCAAAACAGTATATAGCACGATAGTAGCATCAGAGCGAAAAACCAAAACGAAGAACAAGAGAGATTTCGGTCAGGTTGCGTTCATACTATTGTGATTCATTTTATTCCTGAGAGTCTGAAACAGGCTACATAATATTATAATAGTGATGATAAGTATTTTAACACTGCACGGGCGATATAATGTAAACTGCTTGTTTGAACAAACAACCGTAGGGAAACCAAACTCTGGCAGGAATTCATCACTAATTTCTAGATACCTCTATAGTAATTCTACTACCTTGAAATGAACGCAATTTCCCTGACACAATTCAGAATATTTTGCCATACTGTAGTAACATTATTTCTGCAATTTCTGCCAACTGTCCCAGTAAATAAGTCATGAAAGTAAATGAAAATAAACCGGAACGAGAAGAACCAAAAAGTGTTATCAAGTTCCTGCAACATATTATTGAATGAGATATTTTTAACTGTGGTTTTAGCTTTACACATCGTTCTTTTGTTCTGTCAACCTAACTCCTCTAGCTAATCCAAAACTCTTAAAACTTTGAAATTCTTTTTAAACCAGAAAACGTTCAATGGATAACTGTACTTGTGGTAGAATAGCATGGTTTAAGATATAGCTATACTAAATCAACAGCCCAATTATTGGTTTTTTGTATTACACTGTGTTCTAAACCTTAGACAAATTAAAGAAAAACAAGTTTATAACAAAAACGAATTTTAGACTCAATACTTGAAACTGCTTGTTTCAAATTGTTAAGATATAAAAAAAACAATACTTCTAATGCTTGTTTGCCCAAAGGAGATGGTAACCCTACGAAATAGGATACAAAACTTGTTCTGCTCTGCCAAAAATCTCCACAAAATTTTATTATCGTGTGCGCACTTGAAAACTAAAGTGTGAATCACATAATGAAATTGAACACCTTTCTTTAGGTTCTGTTCGCAGGAAAGCTTATGTCTACATGTAAACTATAATTCTCAAGGGAAAGTGTTGCCTCGTCATGATTATTATTGCTCATAATTTACTTAATTTTTTCTTCATTGTTAATGTCTTTGTCGTTCTTCGTTTTCACAGCTCCATTACTACGCAAAAATTAAATACTTTGGCAGGTTTCTGTGCGAATAGACTCTCTTAAAGGAAGATTAGAAAAAAAAAAAAAAAAGGTGGGCACTTGGAAAAAAATTTGCCAAATGTATGCACGTGACACTTTCTCTTCCAGTGGGAAAACGTTTTGGAGTTAGGAGGTACAGTGTATAAAATAACTGAACGACCCCTAAGTAATTTTTTTAAAATTTCTTCTATGTATCTGTAATATCAACAAGTAAACTTAGGCGTAACTACTTGCTTATGAACAAGTGTTTTGAAAGCATTTCCTCTTTGCATCAACAGGCCTTATTACCATTGACAGAAAACCTAAATGAAAGCGAAACGCTTTTCATTTCATGTCAGAATTTGCTTGCCACAAAATGACCTTCAAGTTTAATTGGCGAAAATTGAAGTGCACTGAAGACTAATCTGGTTTCTGTGGCCCGAAATAAGTCAAATGCTGAGACCCCTCAAACAAGCTTCAGATAGCTAAGTACATTCGATCTGGCCCTATCAATAGGGTTTGTGTAGCTCTTAGAAAGCGCTGCATTTGTACTCTCATCATATGTTCGGATGAAGATCATTGCGTAATATAAAGTTTCTATAAAAAGTATACAGCAGAGGATTAAATTTGAAACTGAGAAGCCTCTCAGATTCGAATTTAAAGAGCCATTACTTATTTCAAAATTCGTTAGCCGAAAGTTCTCATCATTTAAATTACTGAGGGGTAATAAATCTAAAGAATGCTTGGTTAATATATCACACTAGTGTTACTGTTACACAAGAACGAGAGTTTTTAATCTTTAGACAGTGGAAAATTATAATAATAACAACTTAATAATAATAACTTTATTTATATAGCGTCTATATCACTAATTGCTCTGAGCGCTTAACAATATCACAAAATGTATTTAAAAAAACACTAAAAAATCTAACAACTACATATAAAAGCATGGAAATTAAATAAAAATATATTTAAAAATCAAAAAAGGCTTGGCGAATTAAATATGTCTTTCAGTGTTTTTTGAAAGAATTCAAGGAATCGGCATTTCTTTAAGATGCGGGTACGCTGTTCCATAATTTAGGTCCTGCATTAGAAAATCTTCGATCACCATAAGACTTAAGCTTAGATCTCGGGACTTGAAGTAACTCATTCGAACAAGAACGCAAAGAGTAGGAGCTGGTATAAAAGCTGAGCAAATTGGATATATAACTTGGTGAAAAACCATTGATAGCCTTATATACTAACAATAAGATTTTATAAGTAATACGGTATTCAACAGGCAGCCGATGTAAATCTATTAAAATGGGAGTTATATGTTCATACTTCTTTGTGAATGTTACAATGCGCGCTGCCCTATTCTGAACTAGCTGTAGGTTTAAGAGAACTTTAGGTAATCCATGTAGAATCGCATTACAATAGTCCAAGTTAGTGGTCACAAAAGCATGAACGATTGCTTCAGCAGATTCACGATCCAAATATGTTCTGATCTTACTAATATTAGTTAGATGGAAATGACATGTTTTGCATATCTTTTTAATGTGGTCTTCCATATCAGATTGCGAACAGAAGAGGACGGTTGAATAGTTTCACCCCCAACACGAACGAGTTCCAATGAGGGACTAGGCCGATAACGTGAACTGAGTAGAAGCAGCTCGGTTTTTTCCTCATTTAGCTTAAGACCATAAAGAATCATCCAATTGTTGATTTCCTGTACACATACTTCAAATCTAGATTTTACTAAGGAGAGAAGTTCATCACTTCCTAATTTAAATGACACATAAAGCTGAGTGTCATCAGCATAGAGATGGTACATAAAATTGTGTCTCTTTATGATATCAGCCACTGGTGAAGTGTTCAGAACATATAACAGATGTTATCTTGCACACGACACACTAGTTTCCGGATTAAGCAAACTAGGCTTGAATATTAAGAAAGAAAAGCTCATAATTTTCCTTTCTAGAAAGAGTAAACTTTTTTAGTTTCTGTATCAACCACATGCAAATTCTTCAAAACTTGAAAACAATTCAAATTCCGTAAGAAGCTCTTTTGCTTTCATTGACGCACGTTTTGGAGTCCTTGCATTATGTTTAAGTAACTGATAGGATACCGAAACTAATGGAAAAGTGAGAGATAAAGGACAGAAACTTGAGGAAACAGAACTTTCAACCAAATATTTAGTTTATAATCATCACCACTTGTGTCTCACTCTTAATGTCTGTCAAGTGCGCGTCTACTTTGCAGAGGGCATTTTCGGAATTCCTTCATTACGAAATTTACTTACAATGTAATCATGTATTTAATTTGTCACAAAAATACATCACCATTGACACAATAATTCAAACTATAAATGTAAATAAAAATGTCTGCTAATCTTAGTACAAGTAATCCAAATAATTGTTTAGAGAATTTACAATTTTAAATTTAAAACGAATGTCCAACCGAATTCGAAAGCACTTTAGCAATTGTATTAAAACAACTATTTGCCTCAGGCTCAGTAAAGACAGTTGAATGATCCTATTCACTTTGTCTTGGGGGAATGTTCAACAATATTCACCTCCCCTTATAATGTTAAATATTAACTACTTAACGACCGAGAGTTAAGTCTTAATAGAAAAATCTCAAACTAAGGCTTGGTGCAATAACAAGGTCAATACCACTAGGCCGCGGTTTGAGATTTTCCCATAACGACCAAACAGTTGAAGTCATTAACTTGTTTATCATATGGTTTACAAACTGAAGAAACGAAACAATTATTCACGCAGAAGTCATCAATTTACACCCGGCAATGTAAATTCATTGACTCAAACCTACAGTTTTTCACTTAGCCATTTAAGCTTTTCATACGACACGGCCTTATATTTTCTCTCCCTGCTAGGGTTTCTGGGAACCGATTGCAAACATCAAGATCCAAAGATTCGGCAGCGTAAATAAGAATGTTGGAGTCAAATCCATCAATAAGCTAATTACTGTTAACCCCGACATGGACTTTTTTGTCAGGCTCCTCATCGCATCCAATCTGCCTGAAAGATGTGCTGACCTTCAAACTGTCTTCAATCCCATATTCACTCACTAACCGAAGTCTTAGAAAAGGTGTTTAGAGCACGCTATGCTCTCCTCTAGAGAAAGATGTTTACGTAGTTCAGTCCTACAAATGACAAAATTTTCTGGAACAGATACCCTTGGTGAACTCTCCGAAAAATATTTCAACATCTTCAGTGCCCCGCTCTTGTTTAACAACTGGTCTTTAACCAATACTGAGCGACTTCATTAAGGAGGTGAGCATCGGCGAAGGGGAACATCCACTGGCCTCGAAGTACAAATCAAGATAACGGTGAAAGTATATTGCCAATCAAAAAAATAAGGAATGGCTTGAATTATATAGTTAAGCATGTGATATTTCTTCCATTCGATTTTTAGTTTCGTTGCCGGCAATTTGAATTTGTAGCAATCCACATCTGTTACGCTTGCTGTACGTTTGAACTTTCACTTTAGATCAATTTTTAAACGTAAATGCTAAATCTTTGACACTTGGTAAACCTGTGCAATTTCCTTTTGGTTGCTCTCTGCAGACTTGACAATAGAGAAGCCTATGTTTGCAGCTTATACATGACCACTGGAAAGACAAGCATTGCAGATAATAAATTGTGTTATCTCATGTTCTGCCAGAATGAGCAGAAAAACGAAATGCTTCCACCAATAACAGATAGTCTACTTCAACATCTAAGGCAATCAAACTACCAAGCATTTGCGTGGAGTTATGCTCCTGAAGCTATGCAGGATCTTAATTCACCGGAGGGTCATAGATGGATGAAGGATGGGGAGCTTCTTGTACCACTGCCAATCAAAAATGACTGGCAGCAGTAAGCCTTCTCGAGCTGACGACCTGTACGTGCAAGACGTCTGCCTGCCAGCCAAACTGTTCCTGTAACAACACAGGACTTTCTTACACAGAAGGGTACTTCTGCATAGCAGACAAGAAGCATGTAGTGAACTCAATGATCTGACCTGCGTCAGTGACTCAAAAGAAAGAGAGTAGCTTTGAAGACGAATTAAAATAGTTGACATATGAAGTGTCCATGGTTTAAAGGTTAGCTTTCTGTTGATTAACGTTGGAGACAAGTCACCTTAGAACTCAACAGACCGAAATGAGTTAAAATATCGTGTTTTTTAATTGCATTATGTATCGCTCTGAGGTAAAAGGTAGTGTACAAACAAGATTTGGAAAGATGACAGAAGTATGATTTGATTTTCAGGCAGGTGGGCGGATTAATTTAGGCCCCTCGGAGATCACATGCTTGGTCATGTGACATAACTTACAGAGGTTAAGTGATATGAATGTAAGTGATATAGGGGTTAGATAGCAATTGAAATGGAAGTTCTGGGGTGCAAAGGGAAAAAAGAAAGAGGAACTTCCGGTCCAATTGCTATCTAATCCCTATATCACTAACACACATTGAATAAATAAATAAATATATATATATATATATATATATATATATATATATATGATGAGTTCACTGATGGGCTCACTAGTGAGCATGCATAATGCTAACAGCAATAACTCATCCTAGTAGAGTGCTCAATTTGGACATGAAAGCAAAGCTTTGTATGCCAAAGAGCTATATCTCACTGCAGACAGTACTTTTTCGGCCTTCTGGGCCTCATCAGTGCAGTGCTGATGCTAGGATGGAGGTGAGGCCATATAGCCACCCCAAGTGATCTCACACATGTGGGATCATCTAAGCCATGCCAGAGTGCTCAAACTAGAAAAACTAGTGAGCATGCATAATATATATATATATATATATAGGAAGTCTGCAAGTCGATTTTCGCGTGGAACAGTGCTCAATACGTTGAAGCAGAGCAGAATAAATATTATGAGAGGAAAAAAGGACGCAACTACATTTCCCGACAAGCCTGTTTCGTGAACGAAACAGGCTTGTCGGGAAATGTAGTTGCGTCCTTTTTTCCTCTCATAATATATATATATATATATAAACACATAATTATATATATATATATATTTTTTTTTTTCTTGATTAAACTTCTATTTGCCGAAGGCATAGTGAATATTGTTGAACGATCCCCAAGACGAGGTTGAGGCAATTATCTTAACTGGGCCTGAGGCAAATAACTGCTTTTATTGGTAGACTTGCTAAAACGCTTTCGAATTCTGTTGTAAATATGTTTTGTTAATTGAAAATTGCAAATTCTGTTACAATAGTTTGAATTACTTGTATCAAGATAAGCAGCCAGTTTCCACTAGAATTTAGCAGGTTCATTTCACTCAATCAGCAAAAACTTCGTATCTTTCTTTTGAAAAGTGTTACGCCAAGCTTATTAGCATCTTTTGCGATCTTCAGAGTTTAATTTTCTCCTATCCCATTTGTCACTTGCTGCGTGACATTGACAAAATGCAAGGCAGCCATTTCAAAATTTAACGCTTCTGCTAGAATCACCTCACGCAAACTGATAAAGGGTGATATGATACACACCTTGACCAATCAAAGTGTGTGTATCTCTCTATTCACCCAAGCAATTATACTAAAGACATATATCAATAGCAGCCAGGAGGGTTATAAATTTCTCATTTTCAGAGATAATGTTGTTGTGGATGGTCTTAAAAAATGAAGAAGAGTGGATTGTTTTATACAAGATGGTAACAAGTTCCAAAGTTCAGCATTTCTAATGAATATGATTTCCTTTAATAATCCTGATGATGTTTGTAGATAAAGTTATCCTTATTAATGTCATACTTACGCGTACGCAAAGAACGCAGATATTCCCTTACATCAATAGATATAAGACCATTTCTGGAATTGAAAAATAGAAGTAGGTCTGATATTTCTCTACAATAATCAAGAGGCGGTGAGGAATATTACCGTTTATACTGAGTTTCTTTTGTTAAGAGGTAGAAATTGAATATGGTATGTTAAAAAGGCTGGCACGGAACTTCGGCAACAATAGATTTGCACAAAGTGGAACCATAATGCCAAAATGTGATTGATGAGAGCAACAAACCTGTTGCTGCGATCTTTTTAGCTTGGGCGAAATGGCATTTCTGGACACTTACGTTGATTTTGCTTGTTTTTTGTTTGGTTGCTGTTGTTTTTTTTTTCTTTACCTAATAAGAACAGAAACCTTAACCGCCGCCCGGCTAGCTCACGTGGATGAGCGCCGGACTACTATGCGGGAGGTCGGGGTTCAAAACCCAGACCGAACCCACACTCAGGGTCTTAAAATAACTGAGGAGAATGTGCTGCCTTTGCTATGACATCTGCAAGCGGTTAGACATTCTAGTCTTCTCGGATAAGAACGAAAAGCCGTAAGCCCCGTTTCCTCTACCTTCTCGGTACTGGTTACTAAGGGACGTTAAGGAACTCATACACTTATCGCAAAGAGTAGGGGACGTAGTTCTCGGTGTTGTAGTCTGCCCTAGATTCTAAAATTGTGGGCATCTGCTAAACCTCCTTCAAAAAACTGTGAACTGCTCAGTCTGAGCAAAGTCGCCCGCAAAGTGTTGTAAGGCGCATTTGATCATATTCAGATGTTAATTTGCACCTAATAAGAAATAAATTATTACTATTACTGTCATTATTATTATTAAATCTTGCAAAATTATGTATAGACCCATGAATGAATCAAATTGGGCGTGGGTCACTAAATTAAATAATGAATGACAAAGGGGTGAGATGTGCACACCACTAAACTGGCTTTGTATTGAACTTTTAGTTGTAACAGGTCATGTTTGATATATGTGACATACTCCAAGAAAGCCTGTCCGGTGAAATTTCCTTAACGACGAGTGACTTCAAAATCTACAGTTTAACATACTGTGCATGCTTGCTTTTACCAGCTCCTGACAACAGAGGTCAAATTCCTGTGCATAAATGTATGCGAACATTGAAACAATTAATTATCTCACATCGCAGGATGGCATAGTGCTTAAAGGTTACACAACCTCCCAAACCAGAAGGTCACGGAAATCAATTACCCATGCGCAGCGTTTGTCTTTCCCTCCCTTGTCTTTAAATGAAAAAAGGGGAGGGTTGTAATCCCTTCATATATAGTACATATATAGAGCAGTCCGTCACTTTTGTTTTATTTGGCAGTCAAGTATTTAGTTAAAGGTGGCAAGGCCTACAAATGATGAAATGTTAAAATGGATTCTCACCCTCAAACAGTATATCTCTTGGAACGCTATACATGTATATGTATGTATAAGTATGTGCCCAAATCTTAAGCATGCAGTTTTAGTTTTAGCCCATATTTGCATCTATCAGCTGATTTTAGCTATCAATGAAAAAACACGTAATTTCTTAGCTAACAGTTAGAATTTTAACTAATTCTCAGCTTTTCATTAAGCCGCAACCAGAGCCCCCACACAGAATCAGAATATGCGCTAGGAATGTACGCTAGTCGAACGGATTAGATTTTGGGTTGTCATGATGACTCTGAAATGTCTCTAGGCCATTTTCTGAGTTAAACACAGTCCAGCTAAAGCAATGACTTGGTAAACAAATTGTCATGTCCTCCTAAGCAAAAGAATGTAAGCAATGATTCCGCATAAATTCAACTGTCCCCACCAATACGTGGGAACAATGCATACAAAGCCGAAAAGGATTTGGGTGGAATTCTGTTTCCTTACACTTTTGAACGGACTCGTCCGTTTTGTGTAACTGAACCAAATAACAGGAGTTGCACTGTAAATAAAGTAAATTCAGAAATAGAGAATTAAGGTTAAAATGTACTTACAGTAGACTACAATTGTTGCGTTAATGGAAGTGACTTCCACTGAGTTATTGGCTTGACAAGTATATTGTCCTGCATCCATTCTGCTTATATTATCAAACTTTAACAATGCAGCTTTCTTCCCTGAACTTTCCAGTACTCCATTTCTAATCCATGCCACATCCGGTAGTGGTTTCCCAGAAGCTTTACAGGCCATGGTGACAGGGGATCCTTCGATGTGATATTTTCCACCTAAAGAGAGGTTTATAAGTGGTGCCTCTGAAAGGTAAAAGAGATTATATCATTCCTCATATGGTGTTGTAAATATTACTTGGATTGTCCCCAACAACCAACTAGTATAAGGGGGCTCAAACTTCATTCTGTACAAGTTAACCTGTTGGCGTTAGCTACTGGAGAACTTGTTAACAAGCTAAATTGTAAAGTAGAGTCCCAGCCTGGGGAATGAAGGGCTAATTCAGGAAGTCACTTGTTGGACTAAGGACCCTGGCTTCAAAGCTACTCCCTTTGTTTTGGATAAAATTTTTGCTGCTGCACAAACAAATGGGCAAAGAGCCAATCAAGCCACACCTCACTTGGAAAAGACAAAGGATCTACTGAAACATCCTTTACCCAGAGAACTGAAATTTTGATGAAAGAGAAACTATGGATTCTTCCAGATCAAAAGAACAAACGAGTGGTACGCTGAACGCAACTTGCCCATCACTTAAAGTTAAAAGAAGAATTTACTCATCTTCTGGTAATGATCGTTCTTTTATCAAACTTTAAACAATTTGATTGTTCATCATGATTGCTCTGCAAAGGTAGTTTGCAGAAGGGAGAGTTTCGCGCTTTTCCTCCACATTTCGAAAAATTATACCCTCACATAAAACGTCCTTAAGCCCAAGTAAAACGCAAAGAAAACGAATTACTTTCCTGCAGTAAGAATGGATTGTACAATGACCATTGTTAACATTTTGGGCTAAAACTATTATTATTAAACGGAGAAGTAGAGGAGAGGTTATCACTCAGCAAATTAAACACATCCTTAATCTATCGCAGGCATTATATTTATAGTGAAGCAGCGTCATTCCATCAGAGCTCTTCGAACTCATGTTACCCCTTAAGATGAGAGTTATGTTTCAATACAATTGTGAATAAGTGTTCCCAAACTTATGGCGAGATAATTTGACTCGGTCCTTAAAACTAAAGTGAAATCAGTCAGGGCCATAGCCAATATGAGGCAAACAGAGGCACTTGCTAGCTTATAAATAAACAAACAAACGACTAAATTTTATACAACATGGTCCAGGCTTAGTTTTGGTGAAAACACAAGACAGGCAGTACCCAGAATAAAGGGTGAGAAATACTTGAGAACAAAAGGGTGGGTTAAATTCACGCTAAGCGGTACCGAGTAATAATCGACACAAGATTTGAGCTTGTTTGAAGTTAGCAAAGAAATTGTCTTCAAGACCATCAAGAGATGCTGATGTCAATTAAGAAACTACAGGACATGGTGGGAAAAAAGCAGTAGAAGCAGAAATGGGAGAGGCGCCACCAAAGAGACTACTTGATTCATATTTGTACCAGAAGTAATATTCTGTGTTGCAAAATGAAGGTTTGAGTGAGAAAAGCAAAAAACAAATACCCTTTTCTTTGTCCCAAGCTCGTGAAAGGACGAAACACATCTTTCTCTGTTTCTTTACCGAGCTCAAAACCTACCATCTTTTTTATTCTATTTAAAAACATGACGCTGTTGACATCGCTGATCCTAGCAGTATCTAGGATGGGTGTCATACATGAACTTCGTAATTGGCCGCGCTCTCCACAGAGTTTCTGTAGTTCAGTGGTAGAGTATCGAAGTGCAGAATCCGAAGGTCTGAGGTTTGATTCCTCATTCTTTGTCCCACGCTCGTAAAAGGTTGGAAAACATCTTTTTCTAGGTTTTTATCAAGATCAAAACTTACCGTCTTTCTTATTCTATTTCTTATAGAATGCTAAATGCTTTTGTTTAGATTTAGAATGGCCTACACTCGAGACTTAGAGGTACTAGCTCTGAAACATCACAAAAATCTGTCGGGTACAAGAGCTTTAAGAGAGTTACATAGAAGAACGAGTGTCATCATGTGTATGTGTAAGCTAACTTGATCTATCCCACAATCCAAAACATGTAGCTTTCAAACAAAACATGCAGTTTTCATGCAAAATGAACTTATGCTACATGAAATTCTAATTAAAGGATACAACAGCCTTTCAATCAGATATAATGATAGCTCAACGCTCTGAGTGCTAGATATCACAGGCTGTATTCGCTTGGAAGATCATTATCATGCATTAGGCCTTATAAAAGAGTGCAAAAAGCTGCCCCCTCTATAGACTTTTAAAAATTGAAAAAAGAAACTGAGCTGTTATATAACACCTTAGTGCTAGAAAATCATTTTGATATAAATTAAAGTTCACTTTTGTTTCTCTATTTAGAGTCACTTGACCTTGGAACCTTGGGCAGGAAACGACTAAAGGACGATGAAATAAAGAAACCTACTAAAGGAACATAAAGTGAAATAAAAATTTCCCCCTCCCAACCCCCAGCTTCAGCTCGAGCCGAGTATTCCACCAGTCACTAAAAGAGGAGGCATAAGAAAAGTGGAAGGTGAAGTTTCTTTGGTTACGCAACTCTTTTACCAGATCTCCGCCAAGATTACAAAATAATTCTTAACTGCCTTCGAATCGCAGAAACCGTGGAAGCATTAGCCTCTAAAGTTTCATTGATGACATCAGCAGTAAAATAGCAGAAACCTAAGGATGTAAGCCAAATTGAAGTGCTCTACCAGGCTAAACAATACCAACATGGAAGACCCTATGCCACCTGGAAAAAGGCATTTAATCACTTGATAATGAAATATAGTCAGGATAAAGATGAAATTTTTTTGAAGCCCAATGGCAATAGGATCACGGTGAACACACTAAGTAAGAGATGAAAGTACAAAGAGACTGCCCATCACATCTTGTAGAGGCCTTTGGATTCACTTTGATGTGCACATAACTTTCCATGATCACAAATGTAATCGATTTGCAAATTTTCCTTTTTCCATTTGTTTTCAATTTTTGAAATAAAATGGTAAACAATACTTTGCAGATATTTCAATACTTGCAAATGATATATGCCAGGGAGTGGATTTGACCAGATGTCCCAAAGTTTCACTTCATTCAGAAAGTTCGGTTTCCATTTTACAGCTGTAATTCCCAATGCTATTGAGGATCAATAAGTTGCCTTTGAGACTTAAATAACCAATTTATTGAGATTTAAGCAGTCTTGAGCATATTCACAATACTTTTCATTAAAGGGTTCCATCAGGTCTGGATTCTTCACAACAAGTGAATAAAATCGTTCAAGCGAACAATGAGGTAAATTGATGTACATGAGTATTTAGTTATCACAAATATTTTCAACTTTGAATCACAGTCAAGTGACCAAGAAGTTTACATACTAAATATCATACTATTTTTTACGTACTTAATGTTGTTAGGACATCCAAGATACTGTATTCGGAAATGAATGGTAGAAACACTTAGCGAGAATATTTAAAAGTCTGTTCAAAGACCATTAGGCTTTCATCTACAAATGACAAGTTTTTGAAAAGTTTAGGTTTCCAACACTAAACTGAAATTAAATACTTTAAGTCTATTGGAGCGCTTTGTGGAATTCAGCCAGTTTCTCAGTGGGGCAACCAAAATCAGCAATAAAATTAGAGCTGTTGAACTGACCTCCATGAATAATAGCATCTGCTAAGAACAGCATTCCTAACTGGCCACATTGGTCATCATTGAATTATTTTCCGTTCGTATGCCCAGCATCTTTCAAAGAACATAGAGAGCTTGGATTACAGACTTCAATGGTTAATTGGCTTCATAAATTTAAGAAAATTTTGCTCCATCGTGCAAATCTTGAAAGTCTCAACTTGCCCCTTAGTGTCAGAAATTCCTTGAGGAAGTCACAGTTCTGTTGACTAAATTTACATCTGCAAACCTTGAAGATCGTAATCTTCAGAAGGCAGCGAATGGCGCAATACTGACTTTCATTCCCTTTGGCAAGTCCCTCTAAAAGGCTTGAAAAGCAATGCCATTTTTCTTCACACCAACTTAATTTTACATGCTGCCTGTGATTTGTTATGCAATATTTTCTTTCATTGATCTCACAAAATCGTACGACCAGTCGGATTGCTTCAACTTTTGACTAACCATTTTCAATTGACAGCTTTTTTAAGAGAAAATCTCAGTATTTGTATTAGAAAAAGTTATCTAATGGATGCATAACAAGGAAACCCAATAGTTAGTGCCAGTGCAACAGGAAATAACTCTTTGATACAATAAATCTTTGATTTCTTACTGATGAGAAAGTCGGGTTAGCTAGCCACTTTTTTTAGCCCTGCATATGAAGATTTGTGCAAATTTATGCTACTGTTTGCTTTCTCCAAATCTCAAAAATATGAGACATGAGTTGAATGCATCTGATTTATGTTTGATTACAAATGGTTATGTCTGTAATACATACCTGCCACAATAAGCTGCACTGTACTTTGTACCAAGTACAAAAAGCTTCCAATCAATTCACATCTAAACTTGGTATTATCTCCAGGGTTTATGTTCTTGATAACCAGGGTAGCTCTTCCTTCAATTTTTACTCTTCCTTTGTAAGAAAGTGGAATTTCAGGATGTTCTTGGACACCACTACTGTCATTAACCATCATTCTGACAAATGAACCATTCACAAGAACACTATAGATAATGACCTGAATCTTATTATGAGGATCAGTGTAGTCCCACACCAGCTTGGCATCATTACCATTGTTAAAGAGGCTTGGATCAGAAGGTTCCTGGGTGAAACGCACATCCACACCCCCTGAAATAGACAATCACAAGCATATAATATTATCAGCCCTTCAGTTACATATGTAAGGATAATATATAGGAAGAAGGGCTTTGTATAGAGTCCACCACAGAGGCACTTTCAGTGTAAGCAGTAATAACAATAAGTGTAAATATGCACTAGATTAATATTCACTGATATCAATTAACTTGAATTAAATATACTTTCATTAACAAAGACATAATTAAGGTTCAATAACAGTAATGTGTAACTATTTGTGCCTTATGAAAATTTTTTTTGACAAGTTCCACTTTCGTTAATTTCTGAAATGTTAAAGTGGTACTCTAGAAGAAATTTTTTGAAGAACTTGTTGAGGTAATAATTGAAAGTAGAAATGTCCACACATATTATAAGTATGTTAAACCATCGTCGCAATGACGGATTTATTATTCCAATCTAGTCTTTTGGCTTCTAATTTTTGAAAATTAGTATGTTCTTATCTGAGCATCCTACCCATCACATGAGATGTGCATGAAAGAAGAAAACAGAAAAGAAACATTTAAGTGGGCTTTTAAGTTCACTGCTAAAAAATTCATGTCCATAAAAATTGGAAAAGAAATCAAAGATTGCTTGCATCACTTATGTCCTTGTTCTTACCCCATTCTTCAGTATGTAACCAATGCATGTTTGCATATTTTGCATTTTTCATTGCCCTAATATGGTAAATAACATAATAGTAAATAAAAGTTGTCAAATATTTTCCAAAGGTGAAGTGAATATTATTCAGTGATCTTCCCTGCAGTCCTTCAGAAAATAACTGTTTTAGTAAAATAGCTTGGGTGCTTCCAAATTTTGTTACAAATTCTGTGAATAAAGAATTTCAAAGAATTGCTCATATTTTGTTACAATTGTGTTGATTACCTGTATTACCCAGGTAAAAATATAAGGTGGGATCCCGCCAATCCCACCTGGGATCCCAGGTGTGTCCCAGGTGGGATCCCGCCTTTTTCAGGTGGGATCCCGGGTGGGATTATGGAACATCCCGCATGGGATCCCGGGTGGGATTATGGAACATCCCGCATGGGATCCCGGGTGGGATTATGGAACATCCCGCATGGGATCCCACCTGGGATTATGGAACATCCCACATGGGATCCCACCTGGGATTATGGAACATCCCGCATGGGATCCCACCTGGGATTATGGAACATCCCGCATGGGATCCCACCTGGGATTATGGAACATCCCGCATGGGATCCCACCTGGGATTATGGAACATCCCGCATGGGATCCCACCTGGGATTATGGAACATCCTGCATGGGATCCCACCTGGGATTATGGAACATCCCACATGGGATCCCACCTGGGATCCCGCCAATTGAAGTTGGGATCCCATCTTAAATTCCTAATAGCATCCCACCTGAGAAAGCACATCCTGGGCGGGATTAAACCTAGAATCCCACTAATCCCTCTTGGGATCCTGCCTCAAATTTCAGATAGTTTACCACCTGGGAGATCATATCCTAGGCGGGATTGCATCTGGGATCCTGCCAATCCCAGTTTAGACCCTGCATAAAATTACAGATGGCTTCCCACTTTCAGAAAAATCCTTTGAGGGATCCTGTTTATCACTGGAGACCACAGATTTATGAAATGTACCAGATAGGGTATCTTAAAATTAAGAGGATAAAATTTTCTAGGTGAGCTATAGACCCCATCAATCCACTGAGGGTCCAAAACTTTCCAACTAGCTATAGAACATACTGACACCTCCAATGGGATCCCATTGTGTTACCAAACTGTTGATCATAAATGATTCAAACAGTACATGAATACACAGACTATATGTGATAAAGATCTCATAATTTATTTGCAATGAACCAGCATGTGTTTGACTTGTTTCATTAACAAATTTCTTAACCGAACATTCTTAAAGAATAACAGCACAACTCAGCATATTACTTTTTCTTCATCATTTAAGCAGACCATCTACAGTGTAATAAGGCTCAACGTTTAAAAAAATTGGCTGTTGTGTATCAAAGAATAAAAGAAAGACAAAACCTCGATAATTCATGTTATCAAAATTTTGACAAAGGTAATGATTGAAAGTCTGCTCTCTCTTCAGTCGAATTTTTCAAAGCAAAGCAAGGTCAGAATGTTCCCAAATGTGACTAAAGTAATCTTGAAACCTTACTCATAGATTTATTTCATTGTAAAGTGTAAGCTTAGGAAACTGCAGCATGCAAGCGACCAATTTGATTCTCAGAATTATTTGAGTTTCAGTTGCGCTGAGCGTTAGGTAAGCTTAATTCAAGCCGTTATTTCTATTCTTTGATAAGATTTTGATCACGTAACGAATATGGCAATTTGTACTCACCACAAACTTCTAAAAATCCTAGCTTTAAATGGCCACTCGATCGTTGTTTGAACCAGTCGATATGTCAACTGTTAATTGTCCCGTCTTTTAAGTTCACGGCGCCAACGACTTTCTTTTCATTTAAAACACTCACGCTGTTCTCGTTTTCCCATGAAACCACAATAAAACCAATCTTTATATATATGAAGTGTTATATTAAGCAAAACAGTTGGGAAAAGAAACAACTTGAAGCAAGAGCGGTTAACCGATGAAAAGTACATTCAAAGATGAGCGCCAAATGGAGTTTTCTTTGTTTGCGATTACGGGCATGATCACGTGGACCTTTTAGCAAAGAGAATCCGCTGGCTTGACCCATTGCAGTCTCAAGAGAAGCGCGCAACATTATTCTGTCTCTTCTGATCGGTTCTCTTCTCTTAGATGGTGGATACCTTGGATTCATGTTTTGATGATGACATAAATAATGATGTGAATTCACTCTATGTAGAAATAATCGACAAGAATCGAACAAGAATGCACGATTTGTGGCCGAAAGTTTTCGAGGAAAGAAAGACTCGAAACCCACTTGAGTTATGTTCACGGCGAAGGTGAGAAACAACACAAGCCAATCACATTAGGAAGTTTAAGAGATACCTAGATGATCCCAGTGTACCAGTACCCAAATCAACAAGGCTTGACCACAACAAGCGTTCAGCAACACGTTCCAACACAGCTAGCCATCTCGATTCCTCAGTCGGTCTTTCCAGTTAATTAGCAGTGGTGCCAACAGAGTCAAGTGCGTCTCATAACGGAGAAAACATTTGCACGAGAGACAGAAGCAACTACATGCGATTACAGAGGTGCATTGGAATTCTCGTCTGCAAATGGTTATGCACAGTCCGAAGCGTTACCGAGCTTGGAAAGGGGTGGAGAGAACGAAGATACAAGGTTGTCATTTTATACTACAAGTAAAATTTTATACCAGACCTACAAGGTATAGAAAAATTTTGTTGATCGCTGACTCAGAGAAGAACAACAAGTAAACTTTAAAGCTGTTATTATCGAACTGTGACTTGTCTTTTCATTTGTATGTAAAGAAGGAATTGTATTTTGCACCAAAAATATAAAGAAGTAATATTTTTTAGGAGGTCCAGTGATTGGGACATTTAAGAAATTAAGTTATGAAAAGAAACTCGGTTTGTACTTCTCACTACTAACAAGTCTTGTTTTAAAAATATTTTCAGATCAGAGTTTCAAATAAAGCAAATTGAAGAAGTCATTTCAAAGGTGTATTTTCTCAAAGGGAACAGTGACCACCTCTGTCTTGTCCGCATGCCAAATATTTGCGTGTGTGGATGATCCATAAGTATTGGAACTCTCACAAAAACGTTTTGTAAGAATAAAAACAGCAAAACAATATTTTTGTAGGTGGGATAAAGAATCCCAGGTGGGATAAAGAATCCCAGGTGGGATATGTAAATCCCGACCAGGATCCCGGGTAGAATGCATAAGTCCCACCTAAGATCCCGGGTGGGATGCAGGAATCCCGCATTAAATGCGGGATCCCAGGTGGGATCAAATTTTCATCCCAGGTGGGAAAGGTGGGATCCCACCACCTAAGGCGGGATCCCGCCATTCCCACCTGGGATCCTGGGTGGGATTGCCGGGATCCCGCCTATATCCCGCCTGACATTTTACCTGGGTAAGATAAGCAAGCAGTTTTAAGAGGTTTTTTAAATTGAATCAACAAAAACTTTATCCCTTTGTTTTGAAGTGTTCTGCTAATCTTTTAGCATTTTTTGTGCTCTTCTCAATTTAATTTTCTTCAACTGCATTTATCACTTTCTTGCAAACATTTGAGAAAATGTGAGGCAGCCATTTTGAAATTTAGCACTCTTCCTGTAATCACCCTGTGCATTATTATCATAGCAAGATTTGATGCAATCCTTGACCAATCAGAGCATGTGCATCTCTATTATCACCCGAGCAATTGTACTAATGGTATTTAATCCATTAAAATTTTTGCTTCTTCATTGAATAAAACAAATAGACCCCATGTTACCATGGCTCTGTACAGTTACAGAAGACATCAAAACATGCTAAGAACACTAGTGACACACTCAACTAACTTGTTCTACACATTCAGTTAGTAAAACAGCACAATATAGTAAACAGTGCAGTAGTCTCCCTTGCTTTTTCACTCCTCTGCTACTGTCACACTGGAACAAGCTAAGCTGCATCTTATGTGCCACATTTTTATTCTTACCATATTGTGATGTCTATTACTAAACAGATGCACAGCAACATGGAGTCTATTTTTCAAATTAATAGCTGACAATCAAAAATTATGGTGGATTTGTATAAGTGCCTTTGTATAAATTGATTGCCATGCTCACTGGCAGTTCGCCACCAGCTAAAGGTGTAGTATTCACCTCGGCTCGAAGCATCGCACAACAATAAAATGGCTTCCAGCTTTACTGTGGTAAGTTAAGAGAAAATAATTTCAATTAATGGAGCAGCTGTCACAAAAAATACAAAAATAGCAACCAAGTGTGCTTTGATAGCATTCAAATTTAGCCTGGAGTAAATCTCAGTATGTATGTGATAGGTCAACATATATATATACACACACATTTTAAAAAGTTTGGTCCTTGTAAAACCTTAACTGTTTCTAAACATTACACAAATATAAGTAGTTACAACTACCAGTGTGGGATACTACAATCATATTTACATAAAGCAAAAAACTGGTCAAGTAGAAAAATCTTACATGTAGGTATGAGGAAATAATGCTCAATTATCCATCCAAGTGCATTATGTAGTATCTTTACATGATTGCTGCCCCCTAAGAAAAGGTCTCACTCAATTAAGCTTGCAGCAATTATCCTTGCTGAGTTTATTATCTGAACCAACAATAAGTAGAAAATTGTTAACAGCTCTTCCCAATAATGAGTGATGGATGGCAAGGAAGAGAGTTTATGTACAGATGGCAACTCTTTTCTGGGTTTGCATAGCCATTATGTTTATAATGGAAAGCCACCTGACAAAGCAGTAACTTTTCTCATGGCTAAGAATACGGCTCACACTAATCAAGAAAATAGTGCACTTCTCAGTTTCAATGTTGATATTAAATTCTGAACGTATGGTATTGTTACACTTGAAGTATAAAATCCTTTGTGCTTGATTTCTATCGCATCACAGTTATTCAGACTTCATTTATCACGTGATTGAGATCCCAACATCATATCTTAATTTTGAAATACAAAAACTGTCCAAAGAACCTTGGAGTTCGGAGATCATTTTGACGAACATCACGTTCAGAAATAAGGGATCGGCGTTTTCGGTTTCTAAGCTTAAAATGAAACATGATAAAAATACTGAAAAATCTTTTCTACGGGAGAATAAATTTCACACTTACTTGACCCGTGAAACTTTACCAGCAGAAGAAAGACTAGGCAAGTTTCATAATCACGGAAAGACACCATCTTATCAGACCTCTGCTGATGCTTCAATGAGGAAGTTTATGCCTAAATCCTGCGATTGCTCCTTGAAGAAATGGACGAGAAGGCTTCTCTTCGTTTTGTGACTGGGACCGAGTGTCACTATCATCCTCGTGAAAATTGTCAGCCGTAGTCGGGAAAATTACTCAAACAACATGGCGGATGGTGCAATTTATGGAAGAAAACTCGATTTATGCTAAACACTTCGGACATTTGAATTGATTTTAGAAACTTTTCTTTCAAAGAAACGTTCCATTCAGAGTAAACTATGCGTCAAACTTGTGAGTGTGTCGAATGAGCGTGACTGTCGATGGCAGCGATATCGATCACGCGAGCGTATGAAGCAAAATGAAAGTCACGCAAGTTAAAATTAACTTGTGACAGTCAGTTTTCGTCTCCTTTTTCTTGTTTATCAACCGTGGATTCTTTTCCAATGGCTCCTAAATGTAATCAAGGTGGGGTTCCGCTGATCTATCCCCTGTGGGGATGCACGAGAGTACCAATATTCCTTGGGCCGGAAACGGAAGTCAAGCCAATTACAAGCGAAAAAATTACGCAATCCAGACGCGCAAACTCAGTCAGTTCACATTTTTTAGAGAGTAATCTCCCTCAAGATTCCCATATTTTGATATCAGCTTGTTCGTGTAACTTCGAAGCATGTCATCTAAAAACATCTTTGAGACTCTAGTTTTGTGACTGATGTAAAATCAGCCGATAAGTTACTGCACGAACACGAAGTGGAAACGACAACTAGCTTTGTTATGTATTACAGCGATAGTGTTGAAAAAGGCAAGTCTAAAGTCAGAGGGGCGCCCTAGATGAACTCTGGTTACGAGAGGGAATGTTAAGTGGAAGGATGCAGGGGTGTAGGGGTTATGGGGAGACCAAGAGGGGAGGAGGGATCCATAAACATTCCATAAAAATTGCAAATTAAATCTACTCTTTATTTTGATTTTGAGAGACAATTACATCCTTTTTTCTGTTTTTGCAAAAATTGGAAAAAATGGAATGGAATAAAAAACAAAAGCGCCACAGAACTTCAATAGCTAAGATGTAGTGGCTAGGCTAGAAAAAGAAGGGAGTGTAATATGTGGTTTTCGATACCCTATTTCAATCTGATCCAAAAGTCAATACCTGCAGCACATGCCTCCGCACAGACTTCTCAACTAACTGACTGACTGACTGACTACCAGACAAAATTAATAAATGAGTGACTAAATGAACAAACGTCTCTTTTTAATGCCCTTTTGATTTGTCACAGAGAATGAGGAAATAAAAGGAAAAAAGGAAAATTTTTAAGATCCCCAGACTTCAAAGTCCCAACCAAGGATCTCATGATGGAGTTCCTTTTATTATCACTGGAAAGCGCGTGTATGATTCCCATCAGAGCACTGAGAGCCATGCAGCTGATAAGGAACGAAGAAAAAATGCTAAGGTGACAAACGCATGTTAATATAGGAGCTAGTTTTCTGTGACCTTTGCCTGCCTTAAGGCGAAAAAGTAAATGATTTAAAAAATAAAAGCAAAAATAGGAGCAAAGCTGGGAAAATGGTTATAAATGGTGTGTTTATGTATACAACTAGAATGAATTGGAGGGCACAGAAGACTCACTTTCCTGCTTTCTAAGGAGTTATAACGACCATGTTTTCTACTGCTGTTTCATAAATGATAATTGCATGGCACAATTGCTTTCTTTAACTTACAAGTCAAAGTCATTGCGACATTTGCCATACAGAGTGCTGCATGACCCCGACATCCGGTAAAATTGCTCTAAACACGCTATTTTGGGTGGAATATTGCATCTCTTTCTCGAAGAAGTGTTTCCTTTCTCATGATCAAATCTACCACCAGAAATAAGTTGAAAGATACTTAACCTACTTTCTAGAACAAACTGGAGAGATGATTTTGTCACGATTTAGGTTTGGCATTTTTACACTTTCTTGCGCGGGTTTGATGTAAATTTTTAAAAGCCTGACCGGCCGGAAAAACCACCGCACCGAGGGAAACTGAGCTTGTTCGACAGTGCATGCTTGGAATAATAGATGTACCACCAAATTTGAACACAGGATAAATTTGCCGCAATTTGATATGTAATTCGTGGGATTTGGCATCGATTACGGCAGGGCAAAATGACTTCGAAAATCTTATATCTTGTTTTCTTTGTTGTGTTTGCGTGTTGCACGGCGGTGACCGCAGTAGGTGATCATTCTGAAGGTCAAAATGACGATTCAAACGCGAAATTTAGCAATTAGAACAGTGCTTCGTATACTTACGAGATCAACAAGTAAGCATTCTGATAAAATATTTATTATAATTTGTTTTCGAGCATTCAATCGTGAAACGTTCCGAAACTGAATGATATTGTTTTATTCTTTCTTGTCTTTTCACAGTTATGTAGTTTATATTAGTTCGGAAGAAAACGAAAATACCGGAGAATCTGCAATTGCTGGAATCATCGGAAAAATGTTCAAGGAATCGGGCATTCGAGGAGTCGTTGTTAATAGTAGAATTATCACTATAATCAGGAAAAAATTTCGACGCTAAAAGAAAAGATTGATTCTGCCAGAAAGAAGGGAGGTGCGAGCGTGAGGAGACTACTTGATTAATGGAAATCAAGTACGCATGCGTTTAAAGTGTACTATCACGAGTTAGACAAATCCGCTGTACTACAACAGAACAAGGAGCTCAGGGGGCAGAAAAGGATACTTGAGGATAATGTCGTTAATGAAGCGACAAAAGACTTAAAATTAAAGGAAAACTGCAACAAGCCCTTGCCAGATCAGAAAAGTCCTGTGGGCATGACGAGAAAATTGCCAAAATGAACAAGAAAAATTAAAGAGGGCTCTTCTTTCATAGTACAAGGCTTTGGTCGCTCAACTTCGTCAATAAAACGTTTTGGTGGTCGCGATTCTCTTTTTGGAGGAGCCGCCATCTTGAATTTTGGTTACACCGAGCAGGAGTAAAAGTGCCACTGTCATGTAAGAGTCACCAATATCAAATGTCCCACTTTGTGGGCAATGACTTTGATATGTAAAAAATTATTACCAGTTATAGGTGCAAGACTAACTAACATAAAACTAAATATAAATGTATCCATGGAAAAAGCGATTCCAAGGAGTGTTAGACTATTTGAAGTGCAGAAAGGTAAAATGTAGAGCAAACCTTGGTAAAAATTGGGCAAAGTCGACTAGATATGCAAGCTTTACCTTTAGCCTGTAGTATTTTCTGAGCATTTTAAGATCCAACCAGCTGGAGGTACAAGAGCGAATAACGTGTTCTTCAAAAAAGTGAGTCAAAGGAGTGTAAGACTAATTTGGAGTGCAGAAAAGTCAAGTGTGAAGTAAACCGTAGTCAAAATTGGGAAAACACGACTGACGTTGTGTAGTACCATCATGGACGAAGGCAAGCGAGAGGTAGGTATCATTTCATCAGTCAGTTTTCATTTATTTTTTTTTTTAAATATCATCTCACTTGCTACTTTTCATTTCCTTTACTCATACTTAATTTCAGTTTCTTTTATGAACTTGTTAATTTCCTCTTCAACTAAATCGCACTTTTTACGCGGTAAGTGATTTAAATTCCATTAGCACATTGAACTAATGATCAAATAAATAACAGACGATTTTTGCCGGTTATTTTAGTTCAGAAATCCTTGTGTATCTGGTCGAAAATGGGAAAAGTCTTCAACTTTTCTCAGAAAAAAGACCATAGAAATGTAAAACGGCAACAGGAAAAGAAAACAATTTAGTCTAACGAGTAGAGTCGAACAGTTTTTTAAAACTAAATTAGTGAGCAGCACTCTACGAACAGTAGTTGTAAAACTTTTTCATTCTCCGTCGCGTTTCGTCTAGCTATGGTAGACTTCTTCAGGGAGTTTAGCGAGTTAATACTAAACGCCAGTAATTTAAATCCATAGTTAGTGGCTATTACGAGAGCCAATGACCATACAGGCTTGGCTGGACCAAAGAACACCGAACAGAAACAGGCCCCTAAATCTTTTTCTCACCACGCCTATTAAATTCCCAAAGTTTTTCACAACTTTCGACTACTGTTCGCAGTGTGCTGCTCAATAGTTTATATTTAAGAAGTTAAAAAATTGTTAAAGAAAAGTGTACGACGTGGGCTACATGAATGACTTACGTGCACTTGTGAAACAATCTTGCTTCTCACCTCTTCTCTCGCTTGTGCTATATCATATAGAATAAAGGAAAAGTAGTACATGAGATGATATTAAAAAAGAAAGAAATAATAACTGACTGAAAAAACGATTCGTACCTCTCGCTTGCCTTTGTCCATGGCGGTACTTCTCGACACAGACTGAAAGTGACTATTTGAGGTTTTAGGGCAAGAAAAAAACTTCCACTGCTAGCTACGCTTCATTATGTCATGCAGACTTTACTTTGGCTTGTCACACAACATTCCTAATTTCAGTGAACATATTTTAGTTTTTTAATCATATTTTTATGTATTAGTATTATTTTATAAACGATTTAATTTTTTGCATTTTTCAATTTTTTTTTGGTTTGTGATCCGATCCATGATCCGATCCGTTATCCGATCCGTAATCCGATCCGGTCCAATCCGGTCCGATCCAGGCGTGATTTCTCGCAGTATGTTAACCCTTTAACTCCCAGGTAAAAATTTGTAATTCTCCTAACTGTCAACCAGGCAATTCTTTCTTGTTAGTTCAGAGAATTTAGTATTGGATAAACTAATTATCCCCAAATTGATATGTTTCTTTATTCTCATCACTTATCTGGTTGAAATTGTATACATGTTGTAAGGAGAAATTCTGTCTTGGTCACTCGCTGGAGTTAAAGGATTAATATACATACGTATACATATGCATAAGATTTTTAAGCCGTTAACTATCGGCGTAATTCCGAACTGTTTATGGTATATTTAATTATAATATATGAAATACAGTTCAAAATGACTAAAATGAAACACGGATGATTCCCCTTCAAACAGATTAAATCTGTCTGACGAGTGCGTAA